GCCGACTTCCCACCAAGTCAAGCTAGTGATTCTGATTGCATGGGGAGTTGGGGGTGGCAGAAAAATCCGCTCCGGCTTTCCGTGCGCACTTGGCAGGCAGTCCGGAAAGGTGCTGAACCTGGTGTCGGGTCAGACATTGGTGCGCGATGAGATTTTTTGGCCCGTAAAATGCATGTGCTGTTGCAGAACTAAACCAGCGGCAGATCACGGTCTGGATAAGCCCTTACGTTAACCTCTTACCTCTGTTTCATTACAGTTCCAACCACCCCCCACTCCCATGGATGCTGAAAAATGTGGATTAGAGCACACAGTATTTAATAGAGAACACTATACTGTACATAGCATGGTCTCTGGCTCCTTCTAGTGGCCAGTTCTGGTAACTTCACCTTTAGAAATATATATTTCTAGGATTTTATTTTAATATTTTCAGACTGTGGATAAGTGAATCAGCAGATACCGATGTGGCGGATATGGGCTTCCTACTCTATTTTTAATTTTTTTTTAAAAAAGATCAAGGTGCGGAAATGGAAAGCGAACGAGCCGTGTGTGCAACACAAACCTCGCCTGCCTTTATCCATCCTTCTGTCTTTTGTCTCCGTCCCGCCAGGATGTTTGTAACGAACTTTGGTGCCTGAGCAAGAGCAACCGCTGCGTGACCAACAGCATTCCGGCGGCGGAAGGGACCATCTGCCAAACCAACACCATCGAAAAGGGGGTACCTTGGCCACACTTCCCAAACACTTCCAGCCTTGTAGCTCTTTTAAGCCTCCAAGGGTTGGTCCCGCGTGGAGTTCCCGCCCGTCCAGCTCGTGACGGGGAAAGTTCTCTACCTGCAACGCTACAGAGCCGATGCTCAATGAGATGGGGGTGAAATGGACCGCTCACATGTCTTAGAAGGAGCCTCGTCCCCGTGCTGCTCTTTAAATCACGTTCTCATCCAAAACCATGAGGTCTAGAATCTTGATTTGCTTTCACATGGTACTGTATTATTTAAATTGAACTTTGCACCCAGAGCAAAAAAAAAAAAAAATAGGGGTACGCGTTGCTTCCTTCTTTCCTAATTTGTCTTCCAACCGCCCTGCAAGGCAGGAAAAGTGAGAGAGAAAGAGAGAAGGGGAGAATTGGCAGAAGGTCAGCCAGAGGCAGCCAAGCCTGCGAAGGGCACCCAAGCTGAGCGGGTCAGAATACTTATTTTTGATCACCTAGGGGCTCTGACTACCTTCGTCTTGTCTCCTCCTTGCCGCAGTGGTGTTATAAACGGGAATGTGTGCCTTTTGGAACACGGCCAGAAGGGGTGGACGGCGCGTGGGGCTCATGGTCATCCTGGGGAGAGTGCAGCCGGACATGCGGCGGCGGCGTCTCCTCGTCCGTCCGCCACTGCGATAACCCACGGTAAGGAAATCCGGGCCGTCGGGCAGAGAGCTGCCTGGCCACCAAATCCAAACGAAATGTCAAATCTAAACAGGAATCTCAGAAAGGCAGCAGGAATGAAATAGCCGTGTTCTTACATTCTGAGAGATTTTTTCCCTCCTTCCGTTCTTTCTCTTCTGCAAGGCCGACCATCGGAGGGAGATATTGCTTGGGGGAGCGGAAACGATACCAATCCTGTAACACCGATGTGAGTTAACAAAATCTTGAGGATAAGGATATGAATAATAATATGATGAAGAGGAGGAGGGATCAATGAATGGACAGGGGCCAGAGAGTCCTATGAAGATAAGGAAGTTTTTTTTTTTAATTGAATCAGAATTTCCCCTTCAAATAGCTCAGAGGCAATGGGTTTTCCAAGAAGGCAATTACTCTCTTACATTGCTAGCCTTCAGTGTATCACAACCTGAGATGGGGTGCTCCTGTGCAGAGATGTTTAACAGCCCCTGATGGATGGGGATGGGATTTTGGAATGTTCTAGACCACCATCATTATCCATTCTGGGGCGTCCACCTACCATTTCAAAGACCTAAATGTGGTTCGCCTGGGGGACAAGGCCTAGATCTGAAGCTTTCTGGTTTAGCAAGGCCAAGCGGCATTTCAGCTTCCTGTTCCTGCCCCAGTGCAACCTGGGAACTTTTCCGAACAGGCGCTGGGCCTAGCTACACCTTCTGGTTGAGGCCCTCCTCCCAGGTGAGTCACACTGAGATGTTGGAGGTGTCTGTAAGGGCAGGGAGAAATTCCAGAATGGAGAATTATGGGATTTGCGATCTTGAAAATCCAAAAATCTCACCGACGTAGATAGATTCACTACTGTAAGAAGAGGGAAGAAGGATGACTCAGACCACGAGTTTGTAGAAGAAGGGCTGCTTTCCAGCAAGAAATCTGAAGTCAACTACCAAGGCATTATTGGGGGCCATGCGGTGGTAACAGATGTGGGGAAAGGGGGTCAACTCTGCTTGATCAAAAAGTGTTTGCAATGACCCGAGGAGCTTTTTTCTTACCGTTGCTCAGGATTGTCCTCCAGGATCTCAAGATTTCCGAGAACTTCAGTGCGCCGAATTTGATCATATTCCGTTTCGTGGCAAATATTACACCTGGAAGACCTACCGAGGAGGTGAGAGTGCCGTTTCTCTCCAGGGTGAGCTTCCGAGTCTACGAGACGTTGGCAACCTTGGGCTCAACCACTGGACCTGCACCTGCGCTTTGTCAGGTGGTGTCACCTTGTTCATGGTTCCAACCAGCCATGGCCTTTCATGAGACCCCCGTCTAATCCATTCCCCGTTCTCCCCTTCCTTTCATCTGGAAGCCTTCTGCAAGAACACGCTGGCACCAGGGTGGTGGTATCCATAAGGGAGAAGGTGGTTTGAAAAGTGCAGTCAATAAAATCATACAGAGACGCAGCGGTGAACCTCCTCAGAATCTGTATTTCCTTGGAGGTTCCCGAGTCTCTTAGGCATTTGATGCACAACTTTTTTTTTTTTTACAATTCTGAAAAAGATCTGGAGCAGTGACAATGGTAAAAATTCACATCGCTTGACTAAATTAACTACAGTATACAGAAATGTACATTTATCACTCCCACAAAGGGGAAGCATAGCGAACATAACTCTACTCTAAACCTGTCTGTTTGAACCCTTCCAGGGGGCGTCAAATCCTGCTCTTTGAATTGCCTAGCAGAAGGGTTCAATTTCTACACGGAAAGGGCCGCGGCTGTGGTCGACGGTACCCCCTGTCGCCAAGACTCCATTGATATCTGCGTCAGCGGAGAATGCAAGGTGACAGCCCATGGTCCCTAACCACTAGTCCTCTCTGCCCCATTCCCCATTGACTAAACAGTTTGAGTTTTCTATTATAAATCCACCCCTGCTCTTCTCCACCCCCCCACCCCCCTAGCATGTAGGTTGTGATCGCGTTCTCGGTTCGGACACCAAGGAAGACAAGTGCTGTGTGTGTGGTGGGGACGGGAGCACATGTGAAACTATCGAAGGCATCTTCAACTCTTCTCTGCCCGACGGAGGTGAGGACAACTTTCCAAGTCCAGAACAACAGACCCAGTTTCGCCATTTTGCAAAGTTCCACCCTTCCAAAATCTTTATGAGTGGGTTCCTATTGGCCAGCGCCTGACACGTCACAACCCCTCGAGCCAGGAGGTTGAGGGTAGACTCACTGAATCAGATGGTTTTACACAGGTGTTGATTGATAATTCCGCAATTGATTCCACTTAGGCTGATTCTGACTGCAAATGTCACGTAGCTTTCGGCCACCGCAGTTGCTCTTGTTGAGAGTAACCGTTGGATTTGGCTGGACCACTATTTTGACGACATCAACATTTGCGGATCTTACCAGTTCCTTCATTTGCCTCGCAGGTTACGAGGAGGTGATCTGGATCCCCAAGGGATCGGTACACATTGATATCCGGGAAGTCAACCTTTCTTTCAACTACCTTGGTGAGGAAGTGGATAGTTCCTGCTTGGATCATAGGCCTCCTATCCGGGAGATGAACCTTGACCTCTGGGTTTCTAATCTGAACGCCAGCCCTTCTTTCTCTCACGTGGTCTTTCTTGCTTTCTGAACGTCGGCCCTTCTTTCTCTCACATGGTCTTTCTTGCTCTCGTTCAACAGTCTTGTATTTTTCTCAGTGACTGGACAACATTGTTTGATGTTGGCCAACATCTGGATTATGGTGGTTTCTACCACCTGAGTAATGTTGTGTCTCCAGAGTCAACCCTACCATGAGGCAGATGGAGGTGGTCAGCTGGTTCCCTCTTGGTTCCCTTCTGCTCGTAGACAATCATCTTGTTCTTTATATCTCTGGTAGCATAATGTCTTGATCAGACCCTATTGTTTTTTCCCCCTCATGGCCACTAATTCATGGCCTATCCAAAAAGAACCATCTGCCTTGAACCTAAAACTCTCACTTTGACTCTTCCACCCAGCTCTCAGGGGGGAGAACGATGAATACTATGTCAACGGGAAACTCTCGATTGATCCTCCCCGACGCTTCGATGTTGCCGGGACCGCGTTCCACTATAGACGATCTCCAGATGAGCCAGAGTCGCTGGAGGCCCTGGGACCAACCAACATCACTCTCATCGTCATGGTTGGTTTTATCACGCCGAAACGGAGAGTGTCCAGCGGGGTGGGGAACAGTGGATCTCACAGAAAACTTTCTTTAAAAACATAAACTGGGCACCCTCTCTTTTTTTTTTGAGTCTAACCTGCTGAAGAACTGAGAAAAAAGGTGTTTAGATTATCCATGATAGACTAGAATCATCCATAGATGATGGGATCCTTGATAGGCTAGGACCATCCATCAGTGGTGTGATCCTTGATAAGGTAGGATCATCCATCAGTATATGATTCTTGATAGGCTAGGAACTTTGTTGCAGATATGTGTGAAGTTCTGGTTTTTTTGGGCTACAGCACCCATTTTAGTGGTGCCTCGCTTGACGACGTTAATCCGTTCCAGCGAAATCGCTGTAGAGCGAAATCATCGTCAAGCGAAAGTAAAAAGCCCATTAGAATGCATTAGAAACTGGTTAATGCGTTCTAATGGGTGAAATACCTCATCGTAAAGCGAAGATCCTCCATAGGGCAGCCATTTTCTGCTCCCTCGCAACAGCGATCGCAAAAACCTCATCGTACAGCGGATTCGTTGTACAACGAGGTAATCGTCAAGTGCGGCACCATTGGGATCTATAGCTCTCAAAGTGGAGTCCCCCCTTTTGATTAATTGAGGAACAGAGTGATTCATAGTGTCATTCCTGATAGGCTATGATTCTTGATATGACGAATATTGGGTTGCAACATAACTAAGGAATAGGTTGGTTGTTGGGGTGATCCCTGATGGGCTAAGAATGGTGCTTGTGACCAATATAAGAAAGAACTGCCCATTTCTCTAAGGGCTTCCATTATCCCTTGGTGAGACCAACACATCACAAAACCCGTCCGGCTGCATGATATCTTTAGGTCCAGTGCTTGATCCCTGATTGTATGAGATCACTTGAAGAATAACGCATCAGAATGTCCATGGAGGAATCAAACCGAGGAATCAAAGGGGAAATGTAATCCATCTCTAACCCACCCATGAGCTCCATGTTCCTATAGTAAATTCCTTTTTTATAAATCTTTTTAAGGAGAAAGAGGTGGTCCAGGCCCTTTTCTATCCTCCCCCAGTGCTGTTTGATGCTGATGTCCTCTTTTCGTAGGTTCTCGTGAGAGAAGAGCTCCAGAGAATCCGGTATAAATTCAACGCCCCCATCGCTCGCAGTTCCATGGCCCAGTATTTTTGGCAGTACGTCTCATGGACAAAATGTTCAGCCCTCTGTGCTGGAGGTAAGAATATCTAGAGAAGTTATTCTGGGGCCGGGGGGAGAGACAAGAGATGGAAAATTATTTGTTGCAAACTAGCAGAAGCTAGAAATGCCAACTTATTGGGGGCAGTGGATCTATCCTCAGTTTCAGCCCAACTTTCACGGTAGCTGTTTAACAAATTCGTTGGAACCGATCTTTGATTTATAAGTTAGTTTGCTTGGGTCCCTGACTGGTCTGTAGGGTTTCCTTCCGAGTCTGTGCTCTGCCTGAATCGCGTCGCTCCGACACTAACACCCTTCCTCTCAAGCCGCGGATGCTACACAAAAGTGGCCCTCCTACCTGTGCCGTTGTCTCCTTGCTCCTTCCGGTTTGTCCCGCAGGCAGTCAGGTCCAGCCCGTCGTCTGCCGGAACCAGGCCGACAGCTCCACAGTGTTCAGCCACTTCTGTAGCCCTGAAACCAAGCTGCCCGAGAGGCAGAGGAAATGTAACACCGAGCCATGCCCGCCAGCGTGAGTGGGGCTCCTTTTCCCGGCTTGTGTGGAGGTGTGGGTTGTGGCCGTGCGGGAGAGGGCCCCCCCCCCGAGAGATCTAGGGAAAAAGACCAGAGCAAATTCTCATGATGGTTTTCCAGAAAGGCTTTGCGTTTAGCAAATACAGGAGAGTGCTAAAAACAAGGGTCCTATCCATAAAATCTGGCATTCACCCCAACCTCCCCCTTTTTCTTACCAACACTCCGACTCCACCAGCTGGGTGGTCGGGAACTGGTCCGAATGCAGCCGAAGCTGTAACCAAGGGGTGCGCACCCGGAGCGTGACCTGTCGGCGCAAGATCTCCCTCACCGAGGAGAAAACCCTCGACGATGGGGCCTGCCCTCCGCCCCGCCCGCAAGTCCTTGAGCCATGCAATAACCAGACCTGCCCTCCGGAGTGGGCCACTCTGGATTGGTCCGAGGTGCGTTTCTCTTCCGGTACAAGAGGTGGGGGGGTTCTCTTTCGGCCCCGTTCTGTTTCGTTGGCGTTGAATGGCAGCTGAAATACAAGGATAAAACAAGAGTTCATTGACCATACAAGGAACTCAGAAACAATTATTGTCATTAATATTTGTAGCACTAGAGCCACGAAATTAGCAACCACTAATTGCATGTTTCTGAAACAAAAAAGGCAGCTACCCAGCCCTACCTAGCCCTTCAAATTCTGAGTTCAGATTACATGAAGGAGGATGACGTGAATTAAGGATCCTCTATCTTCCCCCCCCCATCGACCGTGCTTCACTTCGGCCAGGCGGATGTCACGCAGTCTTCTGGGTGCTCAGAATGGCTGGACCTGTTGAACTGAGCCAGGATGGGTGGTGGAGGAACAGGTTGGGTAAACGCTGGTTTGCCAGTCTAACGACCCTCCCTTTTCTGGTTTTCAGTGTACCCCCAGCTGCGGGCCAGGATTCCGCCACCGGATCGTCCTCTGTAAAAGCGGAGACCACAGCTCCACCGTGCCAACCTCTGAGTGCCCCAAGGATACCAAGCCCCCCACCAGCATTCGGTGCAGCCTCCAACGGTGCCCACCCCCGCGTTGGGTCACCGGCGAATGGGGAGAGGTACTCTGAACTATCTCGCTTTGCTAGCTTTCTCCGTTTTTAATGAAGAGCCTAAAAAAGGGTTCCAGGATGGGTTGGCGAAAGCTGGCCCGTTCACCTGACGATGATTCACAAATATCAGAAAGGAGACAATTCCTATCCCCACGGGTCCTGAGATGGATGGGAAAGGAACACACACGGGGGAGATCTTTGGTGGTTTCCCTGAAAGATCATCCCTAAGCAATGGGATCCCTGATAGGCTAGAATATTGTTGCGGAGGTGTGGGAAGACTTTTTGAGTTTTTGTGAAGGACAACTCCCAGAACTGTACATCCAGGGTCCTCAATTCTGGGCTAGAAGGTTCACGAGAGTGTAAATTTCTCACATCAAAGAGATGGTTTTGAGCTCAACGGAGGGACTTCTGCTCTCATAGCTGGAGGTTGGGTCACCTTGAGCTTGCCCATGACTTAGACACTTCTGCTTATCTCCCATAGTGCTCTGGGCAGTGTAACTTTGGCCAACAACAGCGGTTGGTCCAGTGTGTGACCCACACCGGGCAGCCCTCCGGCGAGTGCTTGGAGACTCTGAAACCGGCGGTGACACAGCAGTGCAAGAACAAGTGCGACCCCAGGCCAACAGAAAACCTTGAAGGTATCTGATGTGGTGGGCTTGGAGAATCAACCTCCCCTCGTGGCATCTTCAGGGCCTCGGGGGGGGAGGGGAAGCAAGTCAAAGAGATTGGATGATCAGATTTCCTGGACTAGAAATCCAACAATTATCCATTCTTGAAATTCCACCCGATGGACGAGATGCCACAGTGTGGCTCGCCTGGGAGAAAGGCCTCCACTGAGAGCCTCGGTGCCTGAGCTAGGCCTAGCTCGGCCCAAACTTCCTGTTTCTTTCTGAACAGGAAGTTAGGCCAAGCTAGGCCTTCCAGTTGAGGTCTTTTTCTTCCAGGTGAGCCACACTGAGGTGTCTTGTCAGGTGGAACTCCCAGGATGAGGAACTATGGGATTTGTAGTCCAAGAAATCTGAACATCCCATCCTTCAACTTACCTGCTGATTCTACCAGGAAGGAAAAGGAGATATTTCAATGACCAGTTAAAGTTTCTCTCATTCTCTCTCTCTCTCTTATTTTCTCCCCTTCTCCAGAATGCAAAGATGTGAAGAAAGTTGCTTATTGCCCTCTCGTGCTAAAATTTAAATTCTGTAGCCGGCCTTACTTCCGACAGATGTGCTGCAAAACCTGCCATGGGCGTTAAATCTCACGGGAGGGTGGTGAGAACGGCTGAGCGTGGCACTCCAAAGAAACTGGAATGACTCTGGAGGAAAGGGGAGGCCGCGTCCCCCCGCTGCCCCAAACCGCCCCTTCTCAACGAAGAGCGTCCACGAATCCACCACAGAGGCAGCCGGCCGTGGCACCACTCCGTACTTTTCCTCTGTTCCCTTTGGGGCCTCCGTGGAATGGCCACCGGAAAGTGAGCTGCAACGGTGGAGGAAGGGGGGGGGATGTCCAAACGTGGCGCGCGGGAACACCCCTGCCCATAGACAGAAAGGAGGGGACCCAAGCCGGGGCAGCTGAATCCATTACTTGAAACTCGGATATTTTTAATTTATTTTTAGGGGCGCTGCCGGGTCCCACGGCCACCCACTGCCCTGCCACGGTGCTGATTCCCAGACTCCCCACCCACGCCTTTCATCATGCAGAGGAGAGCGAGTGATCACCGGCACCCATAAAAGTTGCCGGTTATTGCTCCTGCGAAAGGCGATGCCTGGATTTCCCCCATATTCCGTGGGTTAGGTGGGGCCACCACCGAGGAGGCATGTTCAGGATCATAGATGGGAAAGAGCAAGGTATCCCCACGCCGCGGCTGTTCAATGGAGGCAAGTAGGCAGGACAGAATCTTCCGCGGTGGCTTTCCTTTTTTAAAATCCCTTGCCTACAGCTTGGGGGAGCCCATGATAACCCTTCGGTCTGAGCACGGTCCAGCTTTGCACAAAGAGAAGGTGGGTTCTCTCCCAGCAATCTATCTATTGAGGCTTTAGTGGAAACTTTTAAAGCTGGTGCTATTTAAGACACTGACTTCATTGCCGCCTTCCCCACCCCCCAAGAACAGAGTCAGACCCTTGAATTGCTGCTTTAAAGTTCAGGCCAAAACCCGGAGCAGACTCGCCATCAACACCCAAACACACAATTTTGGAATTAGAAAGAGATGCTCAGTTCCTAAATTGGTCTCGTTTGATCTCTGAACCAGATCTGGCTCCGCCACAGTGGCCCAGACCTCAAGTCGATTTGGTTTAGAATTCGGATTCGCGGACATAACAAATCGGTGCTATGATTTTTTTGATGTTAACTTCTCTAGCTTTTACTTTATTTCTAAAGAACAGCACAGAGTTTTCTAACCTGGAAGGTTCGTCACCGAGACCAGCCTCAGCAGCTGTAACTGAAATTAGTTATTTCCAGAGTCTTGAGGGAATGACTGTAACTAATTACTGTTCAGAAGTAACTTCTCGCATTCTCAAAAGGAATCTTAAACTGGATGTCATTGAGGTGGTTCAGCTTTAATCCCCAGGCTCACTCCATGCGATGTTGCTTTAACGAATGTTACTTCGTTTACTTCAAGGGCCCCCCTCCAGCTGTGCAGTCTTTTAAGATCTTCCTGCACAGTCTCCCCAAAAGGACCCCCAATATAAGCCCCCAAAACCTTACTTGGGAGGAACCAGAAGCAAAAAACTAAACAAAACAAAACCAAGCCCAAAATGTAAAGAGCTTCAATATTATAAATATGGAATAAATCTGAGACATTCATTCCTACAAGCTAGAATTCAAGAGGGCTGAATGGATTTCAGGTGGAGTGAATTTGTGAAATAATAGCAGTAAAACCAGAAGAGGGTTTTATCTGCTTCTCTATAATGGCTGTCTGAATCCAGAGATGGGAAGTGCTATGGAGGTCCTTTGAACTACAAAACCCACAATCCACAGCCTGGAAGAGCTTTTCCCATCTTGGGCTGGATCCTACTTGGAAAAATACCCATAAAAATGAGTATAAATCCGGTTTTTGGAGATACCCTCACAAGCCTAGAAAACGGGGGGGGGGAACCCACACTCATGCCTGGAGGGACCCAAAATGTTCAATTTTGAGTGAAAAACAGGTTTGGCTTTTTCATTATTTCCTCAGGCATTTGGCCATGTGAGGAAATTCTTGCATTCCAGTCTGGCCATCCTGAACATTTAAGATGGCTGTGTTTTGCTGCTTGCAAAAGTTACTTTTTATTACAGTAGGACCCCTGTATCTGCAAGATTGGTATCTGCAAATATTAAAAATATTAAAAGAAAAAACCTAGAAATATATATGTTCACCATGTATTTGCCAGAACTGGCCAGTAGAGGGAGCAAGAGACCATCCTATGTACCATATTCGTATTACTAAAGAATTCTTAGCATGGCCTCTGGCTCCCTCCAAAGGCCAGTTCTGGTAAATACATGGTGAAAATATTTTTTTTCTAGATTTTTTTCTTTTTACCATGCCATGTATAGCTTTTGCTATTATCTGCAGTTTTCAGCCTCAGTGGGAGAGGCTTGGCACCAACCACCAGATACATGGATCTTACTGTATTATAATTCCTGCAATCACCCAGCCAGCTCGACAGTGATTCAGTGCTTCTGGAAATTTTAATCCCCCCAAATGTAATTTCTACACACACACACAAAAGCTCTGCTTATCAGATAACATAGATGACTGCATTATTGCCTTGTTAAAAAAAACAAAGACTTTTATAATCATCTCCTGGCTGACTATCAAGGGATACAAAATATTTTTTAAAAAAGATTTAGTTACATGGTGGTGCTGATGGTTTTCTCTTTGCTCTGAGGCTAGTGGGCAAGACTTGTTTTCACACGTTCATATATAAATATATACAGATATATTGTATTAATAATATTATTATTGTTATTATAGAAAAATGTTTTAAAATCCTATTTCCATGATGAGAGAGAGAGGCTGAGAGCAAGAGAGAGAGAATGATAATAAAGCATGATTTTTATAATAAAGTATTACACCTACCAGCCCGGTGTTGATTTTTCTGGATGAACTGTCTTTTCCTCTCCCTTTGGTAGCGAAAAATGCAAAAAATCAGGAGGAGCACAAATTTCGGTAAGATGCCCGTATCTGCAGGAGATTGATTCCAAGCTCGTCCCCCCGTGGATACTGAAAAATGTGGATAATAGCAAGTGCTATTTTAATAGCTCAATGCTATATACAGCATGCTCTATGGCTCCCTCTAGACGCCAGTTTGGTTAACTTCATCTTTAGAAACATTTTTTCTAGGATTGTTCAATTTTGAAATATTTTCAGATTGTGACTTTAGTGAATCCGCGGATACTGATTCCACAGATAAGGAGGTCCCTACTGCGTGGGCAGTGAGGAGCAGTTGGCATTCGTTACCTAGAAGGAAAGGAAATTATGGAAGAAAGCAAAAATGAGCAAACAAGCCAAAAAGGGGGGAAATAGATCTTTTTGGAAAGGTGGTTGTGCTCGATTTTGAGTCTTCAAAGACCACGGGGAAATAAACAGGACATTCAAATGCACTGGAAAATGCTAGAATTTAAATTTGAGGAGCTACATAAGGTGGAACACTGTGGAGATGTTCTCCTGGATTAGAGTTGGTCCCAGACCCTGTTGAAATCTGAGAGAAATCTCTCCATGGGGAAACACATGGGTTGGTGGATAATGGGAATCATAGTCTAACGCTTGGGTCTGGTGTCCTCACCTTCCGCTTTGGAGCCCCTTTCCTCTTCTTCACAAAGATCCCACTGTCCGGTTTTCGTTCCAGCTGAACTGGCGACTCCCCTTCCAGAGTCTGGTCCAAAAGGCGGCCATGACGGGACTTTCTGTGACCTCACAGCTCCCCAGCCAATGAAACAGCCTCGTGAACATAACACGGCGTCATAAAATACGGCGCACGGTTGCTGCCCCGTGCAATCCAATGTTTCAGTTACGTGGACGGATCGGTCAATTTGTAAATACCAAATGAATGGGAGGGCTTTTAACGTTCATTAAACCATGGTTTATTAAGCCGTGCATACAAACAAACCGAACATACAAGATGGTTTGTCCCAGAAGCTTCTGGAACCTTATACACCTTTTCTGAGCAAAGCTATCAAAATAAAAAGTGATTTATGACTTCCTCTCTGTTGTTGTTTTTAAAACATAGGGCAGAAGTTTAATGATCTCCCCCCCTCCCGGTTCAAAATGGCAGTTCTCGATCTTAATGTCCTTGTGTTTCACTGTGGTTATGAAGAACTACAGCCGCTCAAACTCACCTCGGCGTAGAGAGAAATCTTTCGGTTTTTGTTTAATTTTGAACCACTTCGCTTTTTAAAGACATCTCTCTTCTTTTTAAACAAACAAGCCAAAAAGGGGGGAAATAGATCTTTTTGGAAAGGTGGTTGTGCTCGATTTGAGTCTTCAAAGACCACGGCTCTCCTTGGCGTAGATGGACTGGGGGTCTCTTCTTCCATCTCTTTACCTATCCATCTATTTGAACTCAAAAGGAGGAAGTCGAGAATTGCAAAGTTGAAGGGTGGGGAAAAGAGAGAGAAGGAACACGCCCTGAGCGGCTGCGTTTCCACTTCTGCTTGTCGCCCTTTCTGCTCCTGCTGGTGCCGATAAACACAAATCAAGGGGGAATAAAATATCCCCCCCCACTCCCGGCTTGGAAAAAAACGAGCCATGTTCGCCCGAGATCCTCGGTGACCCTGTGTTGGTGGCCGCAGGATCGTGACCAAACCAGAGCGCAGAGGAAAGAAAGACCATGGTAAGTGGCTCTCTGAAGGGAGGGAGGAAGAAACAGTGGTGCGCTCAACCCTTTGGATTCCTGCCTGACCTTACTCATGGAGATGCTGATTCTGGACTTCGGAACAGGATAAAATGCATGTTGGCTTATTTGAAGGGAAGCTGGCTTTGATCTGCATTTCGCCAATCGGTTTGCATGAGTCGTCGGCTTTCTTCCGGAAGGCTTTTGGGTTGGCGTGCCGGACGTCTCGGGTGTGGGGCACTGAAAGGTTTGCGTGCCTGGAGGGATAACATTGTAAGAAAAGAAGGTCAGCATTTCCCCATAAAGTGCGGTTCGATCCTTGTTCTTGTATTAAAAAAGGACGCGGCATGGGTGCGACAAGAGCTGTTAACAGTTCAGGCTTCAAATTAGACCCACACACACAAAACCTGACCAGGGGTTGTCTACCTTTGGGACAGCTGGAGGAACCCCGGCAGAGGGAAATGCTGGAGGATAAAAGTGTGATGTTTTAATGGGCTGACAGACATGTTTTAGAGACTTTGTGCTGACATTTTTCGGTACAGATTCTTTAAACCTTTTCTCGATACATCCAGTTTGGAGGTTTTAAAAAATGGTTAAGAATTAAAATATCCTTCCCATCCCCTTAAACAGAGGAATGGTTTCACCCTGAGATCCCCGAGTTTTTAAAAAAAACATGTTTGGAAAGCCCAGCACGAATAAAAGGAACTATAACGAAGACAACAGTAGTTTTTCAGAAGTAGATTTTCTGCATGTCACGAAAAATCGAAGCTGCTCGCATGCAGAAAACAGACCTCTCAAGGACATTGCGCTGGCCTCCTCCTTCTTGACCTGCTAGCTTTCTACCGGTTTGCCCCCTCCATGAGGACCTGATCCCTCAACCACAAGATGTGTGTTGGCTTCCTGTCCCTTCAAGCTGCCATGAGAAACAGGAAATCCTGCTTAGCCCGCAGGTACGGTGGTGGTGAGCATGCCTCCCAATTCAAAGGGAGCAACGCCCAGAACGGAGACTCTGACCGAGTTGGGTTTGGAGAGTTTTTCCTTGCAAAGCCTCTTATAGGGACATGGTTTTTGAGGTCCTTTTCTCCCGGGGGAGCGGATTGGAGTCCTCACGCCGCAGACAGGTGCTTTGGGGAACGGTTTGGCATGCATCCGGATTTTTATCCGAACCATTGTGCGCTTTTTAAAATTCCCCTGCAAAAACAACATCCCTGGGGAGACAGGCAGGTTGCTTCTTTGACCCAGAGAACCTCCTTCCCCTTCGGCACCACCACTGTTCGCCTCCTGAAGTTCCTCTTTCTCTCTCCCACCCCGGACTTTTGAACCAAACGTCGGCAAGTTGCAGGGCTCAACGAAACCTCAGAGGAAGCGGCTAGCTTTCTCTGAGCGCAAGGGGGTGAAAAAAGGATGTGGGAACCGGGCCTTGCCGAGAAGGGAATTGAAGCTGGTTCGGAGATGGGTTGAAGATCTCAAGCCATACCTTGTTGATCAGATGGAGTCTACTGGTTTTATTGATATTACTTATTCGACACTCAGCCGTCGCTCTTTTCTGGAGTCAGCCCATTCTCCAGGGACGCTGCCAGGGGCGGATGGGATCTGTAGTCCACAGGATCTCCACAGCCCAAATGATGGGCAAAGCTGACTCTCTCCAAACGGTTCCGTAGCTCAGAGGTTGAGGGTTCAATGCCCCCACTGATGATGATGATGATGATGATGATGATGATGATGATGATGATGATGATGATGATGATGATGATGATGATGATGATGATGATGATGATGATGATGATGATGGGTATCTCAAGGGCTTCAGCATCTGGCTGTGGAACCAGAGGCGGAGAGTTCAAATCCCCCATGGTGCTTCCTGGACAGGGGGTCCCTCTCAGCCCTGCAGATCTAAGAAGATGATGATGGTGATGATGTTGGGACAGGAAGCTCGGGGGTTTAGGTGTCTAGCTGAGAAGCCAGAGGTTGGTGGTTTGATTTCCCACAGTGCTTCCTGGACAGGAGCTGATGATGGACAGGGTTCCTTCCAGCCATGCAGTTCTAAGATGATGATAGGGTTCCTTCCAGCCGTGCAGTTCTAAGATGATGATGATGATGATTGCAGCCCCCAGCAAGTTTCAATCCTAAAACATGTTTTACCCTGGCCCCTTTTTTTCACCCAAAAGGAAGGCAGCCCTCTGAACTCCAGCTTGGAAACCCAAATGTCACAGCAGAAAAGGAAAGTGGGAGGAGGAGGAGGGTAGAGGAAAAAAGAAGCCACCACAGACATTTCAGCACTGATTCTTAAAGCTAGGGAAGCTGATTTTGAAATATGGGTCATAGGATGGGTCATGAAGGTGAACATATGATGGACGAGTTCTATTCTGGGAGGGGAATCCCTTTTAAACTCCCCCCCCCCTTATCCCACCTCTCCATCCCACAGGGCAGCAAGGAGAGATTCCACTGGCAGAGCCACAATGTCAAACAGAGCGGCGTGGATGACATGGTCCTTCTCTCCAAAATCCACGAGGATGCCATAGTGGAAAACCTGAAGAAGCGTTTCATGGATGATTATATTTTCGTATCCTTTCACTTTCCTGACATGCTTCCGTTTAAGCTTCCTTGTGGTTTGTGGATGTTTAAGTTCAGCCTAAGTTGCCTCAAGAGGGCCACCAGTTTGGGGCAAAAGCTAGGAAAAGTGGCTTTGCCCCAAATGGAATGACCTCCCATGGGCCGTTTCTTGTGCTGGAAGAGGACCCCACCGCCCACCCCAAAGCGCAGGCACCTGGATCCATCCGTAGCAATCGGAGAGATCCAGCCGTTTCCGTTTCCACCAGGGCGGGTCTTTTGTCAAGTCAATGGCTCTTAACTGCCCTACTGAAACCCAAGCGAAGATTGGGTACAAAAATGCACCGATCCAAGGAAAATCCACGTCCCTCCCGGATACTCTTGAGAAGGGCACCTAAGCAAATGTGGAAGTCCGGAAGGGGGTGATGGATATTGCCATGATCCCCCCCCCTGCAGATCAGGACTTTGAGCTCTGGGTTCGAGACACAACCAGTGCATTGCTCATTCCGCTGGATAGCCAGAACCAACAGCTTTTCTCGGATCTGATTTTGTCTCTTCTGCTTTGTGTGTGGGGGGGATGCACACACAGAGAGAAGCCAATTATTTTTAAAACAACAACACCCCCTTTTTTCCCTTCTTACTGCTGCTGTTGCATAAATAACTTCCGTATTTGGCCATGAGTCCACACTATCTCTCCACCCACGAGCTCTCGGAAGCTCTCACTCACGGTTCATTTTGAAAAGAAAAAAAAATGCACATACTTCTCCACGTATTAGGGTGGGCTGAGGGGATGTTTCAAGGTGGGCTCAGTGGCTCCCGTGCACAAGAACGGCCCGGACGTGTTGCCTTAAAAAAAGAAAGAAAGAGAAGAAAACTCTTTTTATTGTGGGAAAAGCCCATGGACATTAATGTGGGAGCAACCAGGTGGATGGATGGATGGATGAATGGATGGATGGACGGACAGATGGATGGATGGGAGAAAGATGATTAAATAGATGATTAGATAGATGATTAGATAGACAGATGATAGATTTGTACACAATTATGCAGACGGAGAGATGGATGGAGCTGATGATGGATAAGAGGAAGGAAGGAAGGAAGCTGATGATAGATGGATGGATGGATGGATGCATGATATAATTGTCCATCTGTTTCTAAAGCCAGGAATACATTTTGATCACGTCTGCCAGGAGAAATTCAGAAGTGCACAACAGGAAATCCAGGGCTAAACTCAACCTGCTTTACTAGACCAGGCTCTGCTAACAGAAACTGATCGTAGCCAGTAAAATAATAACAAGCTGCCCTGTACAAGAGCAGTCTATCTCAGATCATGGCATCTCAGCCCCGGGCAGCACAGGTAGTGGTTTCCCCACACTCCAGGCCTTAACGAGTGGCACTCAGACCTACATCGGACCGGTTCTCATTTCCGTCAACCCATTCAAACAGATGCCTTACTTTACGGACCGAGAAGTGGAACTGTACCAAGGAGCGGTAAGGGAAATCCGGGGGGTGCGGGAATAAGGCAGAAGACCCCGTTCTCGGACCCCCACGTGATTCTTCTTTGGCCCCCTCTCCTCTCGCCATAGCAGCCAACGAAAACCTAAACGAACGGGTGTGAAACAAAAGGCAGAAACAGACGCTGCAGCTAGCGGCGGGTTTCAGCCAAAAAAGCACATGAGTGTCGGAGAGATGTGCTTCAGGCGGACGCCTGTGTTCGAGGAAACCTGACACCCAAAACTTAATAAATACAGTGGACCCTCTATTTACAGAATTAATCCGTATTGGAACGGTGGCTGCAGGTCGAAAAGTCTGTCGGTCGAGTCTCCATTGACCCACAATGCATTGAAAACCGATTAATCCCGTAACCGGCCATTTTTGTTCCATTTTGGTTTTTTTCTGGTCTGTAGAGGTCAATTCTCCGGCTGCAAGTCGAACCTAAATTTTGCAGCCAGAGAAGTCTGTAACTCGGAAAGTCTGTAAGTCGAGCCGTCTGTAAATCGAGGGTCCACTGTAAATAAATAAAGTCCTAGGCTTAAGGCCTCACAACCAGTCACAAAAGGAAGTGAGCTCATTCTTTACAGCCTCTTCATTTGGAAAGAGGAGGAGCGGGGAGAGGAGGTGCCTGTTCCAGGATCATAAGGGTCATCTAGACCCACCCGGAGAAAATATATGCATGTGTTCTCCCCCCCGCCCCCGATCTATTCCAGGCTCAATACGAAAACCCACCCCACATCTATGCGCTGACGGACAACATGTATCGCAACATGCTCATTGATGGGGAGAACCAGTGTGTCATCATCAGGTAAAAACGAGGATCCACCCTCCCAGTCACCTAACTGGGGAGACTGGAGGGGTGAGGACAGCACTGGGCAGCTCAGAGAGATGCGGCTACTCTGTGCCCTCCCGATGTGCTCAGATTACAGTTCCCATGGTCCTCGAACTAGGGGGCAGATAGGTGGCCATGTAACCTGCAAGGGGCAGGCCAGGTGTTTTTAAATGAGACCACCCGTGGATCTGAACACAGGATCAAAACTTCACCTTTTCTTTTGGTTGTGATGGTGGCTCTTTCCTTAATCGCTTGAGGCCGTTGCAACAGCTCCGTTAAAGGATATGAGCCAATTTCCTCTTTTGCTTTGCAAGCCATCAAAAGAAGTATCCGGACGTCTCTCTTTGGTACTGGTTAGGCCGCATCCAGACTCCCGGGTCCAGTTCTGGACCCCGCACTTCAAGAAAGATGCTGACCGACTGGAGCAAGTTTAGAGGAGGGCAAGAAGGAGGATCAGGGGGCTGGAAACCGAGCCCTTGAAGGAGGAAAGATCTGGGCCTGTTTAGCTGTGAGAAAAGAAGACGGAGGGGAGACAGGATAGGACACTTCAAAGACTTGAAAGGTAGTCCTACAGAGGAAGGGCAGGATCTGTCCTCAATCCTCCCGGGGTGCAGGACGTACCACAATGGGCTCAAGTGACAAGAAGCCAGATTTCAGCTGAAGATCAGAAAAAAACTTCTTAATTGTTAGAGCAGTATGACAATGGGGACCCCATGACCTCAAGGGAAGGGGATGAGCGCTACAGCGCTGTGGAGGCATTCATGAGAAAATCGGACCACCGTCTATCTGATGTGCTTGGATTCGGATTCCTGCCTGCAGGAGGGGGGTTGGACTCAATGGCCTTCGAGGCCCCCTTCCCACCCCATGATTCTATGACTTCCTCATCCCACATACAAAACAGCGGTATCTCAGAGAGCCTGCATCCCATAATAGTCACGGCGGGCTGTCTGGGACACTCGTCTGCTTCTGAAATTTGCAACTCACCATCAAAAGCTGACTTGAGTTCTTCTTTTTTTAAAAAACATCTGGCTCAGTTCACATCCAGCTCATTTCCTGTCTGAAATAAAGAGAGGCAAGCGGGGGGGGGGGGGCGGGAGAGATTTTTAAGCAGGTCCTCTAGTTGGAGAATTCTGGGAGAGACAGTCCGAAATCCTAAGTTTTCCGAGCTCTGAGAGAGAAAGAGAAATCATAGTGTGGTAGAAAAGCAAAGGTGGAAGGAACCCCAAAAGATCATCTAGTCTAACCCACGCGGTCAATCCACGGACAGGTTACGATTCCACACTTCTGTCTCGGTTATTGTGCCTTTCACATTTTAAAGGAGATTTCTAATGGCGGCTTTCCACGGTGTCTCTTTCTAGCGGCGAAAGCGGCGCCGGGAAGACCGTGGCGGCGAAATACATTATGGGATATATTTCTAAAGTTTCTGGCGGTGGCGAAAAAGTCCAGGTATGTGTGCTGACTTCCAGATCACACCGGTCTCCTCTACACCGATCTTGGTTCCGCAACTTTCTTTTCCAACCAAACTCTTCCTGTCTTTTTCTCCCCAGCACGTGAAAGACATCATCCTCCAGTCAAACCCACTCCTTGAAGCTTTTGGGAATGCCAAGACAGTTCGAAACAACAACTCCAGCCGATTCGTAAGTCGCCGGGTCGTTTAGGCGGCTTCGGCGTTCAGACGGCTTCCTAATTTTCCACTTTTGGGGGCTGGGGCATTTGGAAATCACAAAAAATAAAGAGGAAGAAGAAGATTTAAGAGGAAGGTCATCTCCATAATCTGTGCACCTTTTAAATATAAATAAAAATAAACGGACATTGAGGCCCCCCCACTGTACATTTACACTGTACACTGTACATTTACAGATGTGGGTCTTTCAAATGAATAAAATACTCGTGGATAAATAATCACCGTAACACCAAGATAAAACCAACTTAAAGATAATACCGAGACACAAAATTTCCAGGAGAGGTTTACTGTGGCTGTGATGTGTCGTCAAGTTGCCTCCGACTTATGGCAACCCCATGAATGAGTGACCACTAAAGTCTTCCTTGCTTTTTCCCCGCCCTGAGGGTCTCCTTTTCCGGCACTATCCCTTATTTCATTTTGCACGGTCCCAGCCCTCTTAGTCACCTCCAACTTATGGAGACCTTATGAACGAGCGACCTCCAAAATATTCCTTCCTCGACTGCCCTGTTCGGTTTTTGTAAATGCAAACACCGTGGCTTCCTTAAGGGAGTCAGCCCATCTCGTGTTGGGTGTTCCTCTTTTCCTGCTGCTTTCCACCTTCTCCAGATGACGGTCTCTTACAGGGAATCCTGCCTTCTCAAGACGGGCCCAAAGGAGGAACACACCCTCAGTTTCAACATTTTTCATGGCACCTTAAAAGTCAGCCACAGTTTCACTCAGTTTTTCACAGACTGTAGCCCACCCCTTCCAAATGCGTTCTTGTTCCCGTTTGACTGTGTTCTCTTCGCTCACTCCCAGGGGAAATACTTTGAAATCCAGTTCAGCCGCGGAGGAGAACCCGACGGAGGCAAAATCTCCAACTTCCTGCTGGAAAAATCCCGGGTCGTCACCCAGAACGAGAACGAGAGAAACTTCCACGTTTACTACCAGGTAAAACCCGCTGGCAGCACATTCTGGCCAACAGCTTGGGGGGGGGTATCCATAGTGCTGAAAGCTAAGCCCCCCCCCCCGATTCAGCACTCATTGCAAGTTCGGATCAAAACCTGGAGCCAATTCCCTGTGCCATGAATGTCAGCCATCAAGCTTTGAGAAAAGGCCGGCTTCGAACCCTCAGTGTTGTGCTACAAAATAAGTTGGGTAGTGGCTTGGTCTTTAGTTTGCAAAGAAGAGCCATTAGCTTTGCAAAAGACCAGCTTCTCCTGGAGGGGAAAAATGGCTAAAATGGGTCTGTGGGCAGAGATCTAGCCATCTTCCTTTAATTTTCTGTAAACCTGGAGCTTGAACTGGCCCGATCATAACTCAGGAGCGGAGGTCTCTGGCTGCAGAGCCAGCGGTTCAGAGTTCGAATCCCCCACTGGGCCTCCTTGACTGGGGCTTCAATCTAGCCATCTTCTGTAAACCTGGAGCTTGAACTGGCCCGATCATAACTCAGCAGCAGAGGTCTCTGGCTGCAGAGCCAGCGGTTCAGAGTTCGAATCCCCCACTGGGGCTCATTGACTGGGGCTTGACTGGATGATCCATAGGGTCCCTTCTTATTTAAATCTTAGATAAGATATCTTAGATATCTTAGATATGACTCAATCTGGAATTGGGAAAGTGAATTTTGGACTACATTCCCCAGAAGGCTTCAAACAGCTTGATACCTAGCCTGTTTCAAGGATTCTGGGCTCAAACAATTATTATTTTTCTTTGAGTTCCGCAGAGCTTCCCGGATTATTTTTTTTAAATCTCTTCTTATCAGGGGTCGGCTCACATGAATCTCAAAATTCACATTTTTCATCCGCCAGCCTGCGCATTGTTGAGTAACTTTTCTCTCCCTCCTGTCTCGGACAGCTTATCGAAGGCGCCACGCCAGATCAGAAACATAACTTGGGAATCGTCAGCCCGGACTATTATTATTATCTGAACCAGTCTGAAACGTACATCGTGGACGGGACAGACGATCGGAGCGATTTTCACGAGACCATGGTAAGCAACCCTGCGGCATGAAGGTTTCCTTACCCTGGGGTAGCATCCGTCGCTGCGCAGGTAGGAAAACAAACAGATATTGGAGGAAAAATAGATGAACCATCAGGGAAAAAAAATTAGGAAACACAAATAGAACAGAGATCTATTAAACAGGAAAAAAGCCAAAATTAAAAAGAATTAGGTTGCCAGTTTTATTTAATTTTAGGACCGGAAAGTACCAAACAGGTTCATATTCACTACAATGAGAATCTTTCCAAAATGCTGTAAAGGTTTGCATTTAAAAAAACAACAACCTTACTTTAAAAATATCTCTGTCAGCGATTTATCAGGCATGTACGTTGTTCAGCTAAAAAACAGCCAGAATCTTACTCATTTATTCTTGCGTAGATCCAGAGATCAAATCGCCACTTGTTAAGGAGGAGCTGCTTGGGTTCCCTCATTAACGAGCATCAATTTGCCACTGATATTAATATGATTTCCTTTACACTGGGTGGGGAGGAATAGAGGACAGGCGACCACCCGCTCTCTATTGCTTAAATATACTATTTGAAGGGTTGCCTGGGAATTGTTATGCTTTTTCTCCTTTACTTTCTAGGATAGATTGTGCTGCAGTTATTCTTTTGTTGTCATTATTATTATTATTATTATTATACTGAGGCCATGAAATGAACTGGTGGATAGGCTCAAGGGTTTCGGTCTCTGGCTGGGGAGCCCAGAGGTTGGGAGTTGGAATCCCCCATGGGGCCTCCCTGAGAGGGGCTGGACTGGATGATCTTTAGGATCCTTTCCTGCTCGGCTGTTCTATTACTAAATGTCGGATTTAGTGCCTAGAATAGTCATAGGTATTTCCTTAAAATACGTGCTGTTCCAAGTAAGACAACTGTCTCGATCATCTTCGTTGAACCTAACATTCAGATAACAAGAGTGATATGTTTTCCCTTCCTAATCTGTGTATATCGTTCTTCTCTTCTCTGGATCTCCCTTCCTGTTTTACACCTACTCTTTTTCTCCCTCCATCCCGTGGTGTCCATGGGCATCCGTGCCCCCACCCCCAGAATGCCATGGACGTGATTGGCATCACGGGCCAAGACAAGCAGCTGGTTCTTCAGATCATCGCTGGCATCCTCCACCTTGGCAACATTGGGTTTCAGGAGCACGGAAATTACGCCCAGGTCGAGAACTCAGACCGTGAGTGATTCCCTTGGGGGGAATCCCCAAAAGGGGATGGCCAGGGTGGCATGGAGAGCAGAAATGTCAGGACCAAAACAGACCCAGGTTCAAATCCCTGCTCAGCCAGAGAAATCCACTGGGGGTGGCAATGGAAGAAACCACTCCTTAAACTTCTCAAATATCTCAGAAAAGGATGCCCTAAGTCCAATTGACAGTCTAGATCAATGGTTCCAACCTCAGGTCTCCAGATGTTCTTGGACAAAGATGTTCTAGATAGCTCAATGGTTTAGGCCACTGGTTCTTAACCTTGGGTTTAGATAGCTCAATGGTTTAGGCAACTGACTGTGAAGCCAGAGGTTGGGAGTTCAATTCCCCCATGGTGCCTCTTTGGTAGGGGATGGACTGGATGACCCGTAGGGGTCCCTTCCAGCTCTACTGTTCTAAAAAGGATGATGATAAAACTCCTTGAAGCCGCCCCGACGAGCTGCGCTGACCGGGCTTTCTGGGAGTTGTAGTCCAAGAACATCTTAGGGGATGGACGGGATAACCCGTAGGGGTCCCTTCCAGCTCTACCGTTCTAAAAAGGATGATGATAAAACTCCTTGAAGCCGCCCCGACGAGCTGCGCTGGCCGGGCTTTCTGGGAGTTGTAGTCTAAGAACATCTGGAGAGCCAAGGTTGGGAACCACTGGTTTAGAACAACATTTAGAATCCCTTCTGTGTAGGCCAGTGAACATTAAAACCTAGATGGGAGGGAAAACCTGCTTCTTGCCTCGCCAGAAAAATATAAGTTGCCTGCAGTAGATGCAGCAGGAAGGGGGAAGTTTCAAGGCAAAGTGAGACCCTCTTGATGCCCTGAACAAAAACCACATTTTGTTACAGATGTCTTAAAAACAGCTGGATGTGGATCACCTGGGAGAAAAGGCCTAAATTGGAAGGCTCTGGGGCTTAGCTAGAGAAGTTTCGAGGCCAAGTGAGACCCTTTTGATGCCCTGAACAAAAACCACATTATGAGCTGCAAGTCAAAGGATGGGATTTTTGGACTTCCTGGTTTACACATCCCATAATTACCCCATTTTGTTAGTCCCAACTATGTTACAGATGTCTTAAAAACAGCTGGATATGGATCACCTGGGAGAAAAGGCCTAAAATGGAAGGCTCTGGGGCTTAGCTAGGCCTAGTTCCACTTAAGCTTCTTGTTCAGAAAGAAAGCTCCCAGGTTGCATTGGGGCAGGAAGAGGAAGCTGGGCTGGAGCTAAGGCCTAGCTAGGCCTCAAACCTGGGGGGAAAGGCCTAGCTAGGCCTCAAACCTGGGGGAAAAGGCCTAGCTAGGCCTCAAACCCGGGGATGAGGCCTAGCTACCTGGGGGACTAGCTAGGCCTTGTCTCCCTGGCGAGCCACATTTAGGGGTCTGTAAAGTAGGCAGAACTCCCAGAATTGAGAATTATGGTATTTGTATTCCAGAATTACTCATTCGATTTGAATCGTACCTTTCCTGCTAAGAGCTCAGAGGGCAGCTCTCTCCTGTGCTCCCTCCTTTATCCACATAATAATCTTATGCGGTTGGTTGAGCTAAAAGAGAAGGACCGGTTTGGTCAAGGTTGGTTAGGGTTAAAGTGATGGAAATAAGGACGTTTTACTCGTCACCAACACCCCATCAAGAGGTTTATGAATTTGAGTCTCTCTCCACCCCTCCCTTTCCCTAGTGCTTGCTTTTCCGGCTTACCTCTTGGGGATCGACAAGGTCCGCTTGAACGAAAAGCTCACCAGTCGGCAGATGGACAGCAAGTGGGGCGGACAGTCAGAGTCCATCAATGTGACCCTCAACGTGGAGCAAGCGTCCTATACCCGAGATGCCCTTGCCAAAGGACTGTACTCCCGGGTCTTTGACTTTCTTGTTGAGGTATGAGTTGTGGTCTACAGCAATGGTTGGGTCTCCAGATGTTCTTGGACTCCAGCTCCCAGAAGCCATCGCCACGAGTTGTCCTGGCCAGGATTTCTGAGAGGTGTCGTCCATCTGTAGAACATCTGGGGACCCTAGGTTGGGAACCACGGTCTACAACATAAGGACGGGATGGGATACATTAAGAGAGGTGGAGACAGTCTACAATCTGGTTGATCAACAGCTGGGTGGCCTCGAACTATTTAGTTCTTTGCCTATCAAATATGGAAGGAAGGGACTTGACAGTGACCATGATGGCCCGTTGGTTGCGTTCAACTCTGTGGTTCTTTGAACACCCAATGGGAAGGGGATCCTGGGGAATGTTGAACAAGATGGCCACTTCTGGATCATGCCCAACTCTACAGTTCTTTGAAGAGCCGATCAAAAGAACAGTAGGACTTCTTCTAGCGACTCGTTCATCGCTTCCAACTCTACGATTCTTTGGGAACCCAAATTTAGATATTTGATAGGAAACTCTTGAAAAAGTTGGCGGGAGCTTGGCCATCTCTTCTGGCCTCAAATGGAGTTGAAGATAAGCTGTTGAGGGATTTTGTGAGGTTTGGAGAAGGCCAACGCCCAATTGGAGGGTTCTTTGAAGGCCAACCCAACGTTCTTGATGGACCTATTTGATAATAAACATCCTGCCTTGTATGTGACTGACCCTTGTATTTCCTTTTATCTCCAGTCCATCAACAGGGCTATGCAGAAGCCTTATGAAGAATACAGCATCGGTGTTTTAGACATTTACGGCTTTGAAATATTCCAGGTAAGCTGCTTGATTTTGCAAACTTAGCTGTGGATCTACAATAATGTACACTACTCTTTTCAACACCAACTCTTCATTAATAACACACCATTATATTAACATTTTCAATCACGTTTTAAACTAGAAAATATACTAGGAGACCTTCTGAGGTGCGTCACATGTCGGATTTCTTTGTGGGATATTTAATAAACAAAATGACCCCATGCAGAGCTTTAAATTTAAGGATTTGAACTGCGATGTTTGGTTTGGAAATGAAATTCACATGCTGTACTGTATTGTCACGTGATCTTCAACTCCTTTTGATTCTCGTGTGCACTTTTCAAATGTAGGTTTATATTTCTGGATATTATTTTCTGGGCTGTGAAGGTCCGGTCCATTCACAGAGAGAATTTCGAAGTGTTCCTAAAAATCGCATATTTATCTGTCCATCCACCAACCAAAAACATTCCAGACTTAAACTGCTTTCTCCTTTCTACATTCTCTCCTTTCTAGAGAAACGGTTTTGAACAATTCTGCATTAATTTTGTAAATGAGAAACTCCAGCAGATTTTCATCGAGTTGACCCTGAAAGCAGAACAGGTAAGAGGACGGAAATGTCAAACCTTTCCCGTGGGGTGAGGGGAAATCTTGTGTTCCTATAACCACTCTAAACAGCCCCATAATGCTCATGGGCTGAATTAGGATCTTCTCGCATCCAGACTCGGAGTGGAGGTCTCACATCTTTGGTTTTCACTAAGGTCCCTGATTGGAAGAGCATACAATCTAAAATTCAGCCAGAGAAACTACAGAGAATCGGCGATATTAAAAAGGGAAGCTGTTTCAATTACCCATCATTTTTGTGACGACCATGAAATCAAGATGGATTATACAGTAGGACCCCAGTATCCGCAGTGGATTAGTTCCAAGTTCCTCTGTGGATGCTGAAAACTGCAGATAATAGTGAACGCAATACATAACATGGTAAAAATAAAAGTTCTGAAAAAAAGTATTCTCACATTACCAGAACTGGCCACTAGAGGAAGCCAGAGAGCATACTATATGTTCTTCAATGACAACAATACATAGTTATGGTCTCTGCCTCCCTCTAGTGGCCAGTTCTGGCAAACACATTGTAAAAATAAATACGTATTTCTAGTTCTTTCTTTAAAAAAATTATCATATTTTCAGTCCATGGATAGGTGAAACTGTGAATACTGTTTCCCTAATACAGGGGTCCTGTTGTACTAAAAACTTCAAGAAAAGGGTGACTTTTGAAGAAACACATGAAGGCTAATAGAATGAGAAGAAAATTAGGGTAGACCCTTAAAGAAAACAGGGACTGTAATATCCCATGAGTGCAGTATTTCATACAAGATACATTTTGCAATATAAATTAAAGGCTAGCTGATTTCGCTTAAAGCAGCTGGAATCGGTCATAAGAAAGAGTCTTGTAGCATCATTAAGCTTTTCAGGGGGGATGTGAGCTTTCACAGAACACATCAGGCATCCAAAAGCTTACGACCAATAAACTTTGGCCATCTTTAAGGCATCATGAGTGTCCTTCATAGCTTTTGGCTATCCATCTGAGCAATCCATGCGCCCCGATGCAGAGTCCTGTGAGGCTCCAAAGCTTGCCCATGGGGGATATCTTCATGGACAGATAAAGACTTTAGCCCCAGGTTTTGGATTTCGACCACAGACAGAGATAATGGCTTTTTCTGTTGAATTGAATTTCCTTGCGGATCTTGTCCTTTTTGAATGCTGCGATTTTCTCTTTGGAAATTCACCATTTCTTTGTTTCTCTCTCTCTTTCTCTTTTTGGCTTCTCAACTTAGGAAGAATACGTCCAAGAAGGAATCAAATGGACCCCAATTGAATATTTTAACAACAAAGTGGTGTGCGACCTTATTGAAAACAAAGTGGTAAGAGATAACAAGCCAGTAGCCCTTAAACAAATCTGGAGTCTTTAAGTTGCATAATAGTCAAAGATGTTGGCAAGTTCAAGTCCCAAGTCTGAGCCTTTGGCACCAAGTCCCAAGTCCCTATTAAAAACAAGCTTTTCCTCCCAGAAAAAAAGGGTTGGTGGGTTCCCAAAAGTCACTTCTGGCTATCTCTGCCCTCCAGTCTCTGTTTTCTCCCAGAATCCCCCTGGCATCATGAGTGTCCTGGATGACGTTTGCGCCACCATGCACGCAAAGGGCGACGGGGCGGACCAGACACTGCTTCAGAAGCTGCAGGCAGCCGTGGGAAACCACGAGCATTTCAACAGCTCGAGTTCCGGATTCGTGATCCACCATTACGCTGGCAAGGTCAGGAGAGAAAAGGGTTATCAAGAACTCTCCATAAATCATTCACACTTTCCACTTTATTGTGCCACTTCCAAAGGTGGGAATTTTATTTAAAAGAACTCTAAAACGTATTAATTGCATGATCCATTAAAGTTCAGCAGCCTGGCTGCTATTATCATTATCATGTCTCTGATCACATGAGCCACTTGTATGGGTATAACGAGCTACCTTATGAACATAATAAAGCCATAATTCTACTTCCAAAAATGTTTTTCTGGGGTATATTCATTCATCCATTTATTTAAAGACATGTGGACAGGAATTATACATAACTGGCTGGAATTTTTAAAAGTATTTCCAAAGCGCCGTATCAAAACTGGTCACTAGAGGGAACCAGAGATTCTTCCGTGTGTATACGTTTAGCAACAAGACAGTTCAAAGAATTACTTTGGTGATAAAGCTAAGTCAGTGGCTAAAGAGTGAGGAATCACCCAACAATTTATTTTTTTAATGTAATATTCCAGGCTCTGTCAGGTGGTTTGTCTGCCTCCTGATGTTTTGACAATTCTATGGCTGTATTATTTACTACTATTGTTTTAACTCATGGTCCCATCTTTGCTTTGATTTTTGTTGACCACCCAGAGTAGTGCTTTATACTAAAGGGGTGGTATAAATGTCTGTGGATGGATGGATGGATGGATGGATGGATGGATGGATGGATGGATGGATGGACGGACGGACGGACGGACGGACAGACGAATGGATGGATGGAAACCAGGCAGGGAAAAACTGATGATAGATTTTTATGGATGGAATTTCCCACATCCTATGCTGAACTATCACCCATTCCTCCATTCAGGTATCCTACGAAGCAAGCGGCTTTTGTGAAAAGAACCGAGACGTCCTCTTCACAGACTTGATAGAACTGATGCAAAGTAGTGAATTGTGAGCTCTCTGCAATTGATTTTGTGCTATTGAGTTGATTGCAATTTACGGTAACCTTTCCCAGACTTTTCCGGGAGTCCTCAGAAGCGGTTCTCCAGTCCCTCCTTCTAGGGTCACCATGCAGCTTCCTCCAAGGCATACAAACCCATCATTCATTCATGCCCTGGGGATCTTGGCTGCCCCCCCCCCAGTTCAGGAGGCAGGCCCTTCAACCCATAGATCAGTTCCCACTGTCAAGAATAAGACCCTATCACCGTCATTCATATTAACTTCAAATAAACCTCTGCTCTGCTTTTGAAGCAAATTAATGTATATTTCTGTCTTCCAAGTTGAATTGGGTGGAGGCCAGGAGGAAATGCCTCCTAACTGTGTACCAGCTCTTTCTTTTCCACTTTTCAGCCCTTTTATCAGGATGCTTTTCCCAGAAAAACTCGGTGCGGAGAAAAAGGGACGACCCACCACAGCCGGGAGCAAAATCAAGGTAAGCTTCTGTTTGGTTGGTGGTCTCAGATCTGTCTCCCACTACCTAGAAGACAGACCTCGTAACATAATGCGGCCAACAAGAGATAACATGATGAGGACGAATATGCTGAAAGACAATCTAGTTCTCAACATCCTGCATCTTAATGTCCTGCTTACTGCTCTATCAAAAGTCTTAATTCCTTGCTTTAATGCAAAGAATTCTCCCCCAATAGAAACAGGCCAACGATCTTGTGAACACGTTGATGAAATGCACTCCACATTATATCCGGTGCATTAAGCCCAACGAGACCAAGAGGCCCAGAGACTGGGAAGAGAGCAGGTAAGAGGGAGGGAGACCCACAAAGAGAAGCACACGACAAGACCCGTCAAAACCATGAGCCGAAACGAACGACTCGATTTGGATAAGCTTTAGCCAACTCCCCTTGTGATGTCTTGTAGGGTGAAGCACCAGGTGGAGTACTTGGGGCTGAAGGAGAATATCAGAGTCCGCCGAGCGGGTTTCGCCTACCGCAGGTTGTTCCAAAAATTCCTTCAAAGGTAAGGAGACCTTCCATGAGCACCCAGAGGCTGTTGGGAACCAGGAGCCACCATGCCACAACCAAGAAGTAGGGAGAGGGTTGCACTCGAGTTGGAATGAGCCATTGGGGTCATGCTGTTACCGAGCCACGCTCCTCTCCTTCAGGTATGCCATCCTGACCACAGAGACCTGGCCAAGGTGGCGGGGAGATGAACGCCAAGGGGTCCAGCACTTGTTGAGGTCCGTCAACATGGATGCAGACCAGTATCAGATGGGGCGCACAAAGGTTTTTGTGAAGAACCCCGAGTCGGTAAGTCAAGGGCCTCAAGTGCTCTCTTATCCTGATAGCAGAGAACAAGAGGTGTCCGTTCGGCTATGTATTTCCACCTCTATTTCAGCTTTATGTTAAATAACCCAAATAAGTTGGGGACTGATCTCCCCCCCCCCAAAAAAAATTCCTATTAGCAACCTGCTGAATCAGTAGGCTGCTATAGTCTGAAAAGACCACTTTCTGGATGGCAATTCCCCAAATACAGTGGTGCCTCGCTTAACGAGCGCCTTGTATAGCGACGAATCCGCATAGCGATCCCTTTTCCGGGATCGCTAATGCGGAGGCATTGCGTCAGCCTCTATGGCCAAAACTCACATAGCGAAGATCGGTAAGTGTTTTGCTTACCGACCTTCGCTTTGCGACCTGCGGATCAGCTGTTCGGCGGGTCCAAAATGGCCACCGGAACAACCGAAATGGACGCGCGCAGTGTTTTCACGCCCTCCCCTCGCTTACCGAGGGCGCAAAAATGGCTGCCAGCTATGGGAAGACTTCGTTAAACGGTGAGTTTTCTGCCGATTTGGAACGCATTAAACGATGTTTAATGCGTTCCAATGGCTTTTTTTGTTCCATTTAACGAAGTATTCACATAGCGAAGGTTAATCCAGAACGGATTAACCTCGCTGTGCGAGGCACCACTGTATCCCAATCAACATGGCTACATCAAAGCTGAAGAGATATTGGTCCATTCCTTGTTTCCTACTGAGCCAGGCCCCTCTGACTAGGTCTTTGGACAAGGATTTGGGACATGAAGGTCACTGGGCAACCAGAGCCCCTCCCGCACGCTCAGGGATCCTACCTCCCAGTGTTGTTGTGAAGATAAAGGGGGGAGGAGAAAGATGATGGGAATGACCTCCAACGTCTTGCAGGAAAGGTTGCCGAGGGAGATGGCAAAACAAACGGATTTCACTTTTCTCTTGCCGTCAGCTCTTTCTTCTGGAGGAGATGAGGGAACGCAAGTTTGACGGATACGCCCGGATCATCCAGAAGGCGTGGCGCCGTCACATCGCCATCCGGAAATATGAGCAAATGAGAGAGGAAGGTAAAACATGTTGGCATTCTAAGACAGAACCAAGGGCCTCTTGTAATGTCCCGACAGACACTTATTTTGGTGAAGGGAAGAGACTCGGATTGAACTCAAGCTGGGCCGCCCAGATAGGAAACGGTCTGGAAGCAAAGCCCTCGGAGGAACCAGGGAAGGGGTGGAGCGAACTGGGCACAATTAGCCATTAGAAGAGAAGACTGAGAAACAATGGGATGGCCCTCTTAAAATATCTGAAAGAGTCCCCACTGGAAGACAAAGCAGGCCTGTTTTCTGTGGCTGAATAAGAACTTAATGAAGAACTCATACACGGTAGGATCACCATATCCACAGGATCAGTACCCACAGTTTCAGTTCTCTGCTAGTTGAAAAGATTAAATAAACAACTCCCAGATATAGATGTTTTCAAGGTGCATTACCAGAACTGGCCACTAGAGAGAACTAGAGATTATACTATGCTATACTGTGGTTTTTGGCATCCGCGAGGGGCCTTAGAATCAATCCCCCAAGGATTGACATTCTGACTAAACATTAGAAAGAACTTTGTTATGGCAAAAGAGTGGCTGAAGAGGGGAATGGCCTCCGTCTCAAGAGGTGTTGTACTCACCTTGGTGGGGAATCTTGAAACAGAAGCTAAGTGGCCATCCATCAACAGAAAGTTCAAGAACATGATCCTTAGGGACCCTTCTGGCTTTACCATCCTGTGATCCTACAACCCTTTCTTTTCCTTTCTTCTCCTGCACACATACCCTTGTAGCATCTCACATCCTGTACAACTTCAAAGAGAGGCGGCGGAACAGCATCAACCGGAACTTTGTGGGCGATTACCTGGGGATGGAGGACAAGCCGGAGTTGCGGCAATTCTTGAGCAAGCGAGAGAGGATCGATTTTGCCGACTCCATTACCAAGTACGACCGGCGATTTAAGGTAAAGGAGGCAGTCGTGCTGGGCTTATTGCAGCCCTTTGGTCATTTTCGTATTTCACTTTCTGAACTTGTAAACCTGTTAGACGCTCCAAGCTTTTAGACATTTTTGATACCCAGAGTCCCAGATTAATTGGATGATGATAATCTTCAAAGTTCCAACCCCTTCGCATCTCATGGATCATCTCCATCATCATCCACTCCGCAGCCTATCAAGCGGGACTTCATCCTGACCCCAAAATACTTCTACATGATTGGTCGAGAGAAGGTCAAAAAAGGTCCAGAAAAAGGCCAGATCCGGGAGGTGTTGAAGAAGAAGGTGGAGATCCAAACGCTCAACCGAGTGTCCCTCAGGTAAGGCTCATCCTCAAACCACCCAGGCTGTTCTTTGGCAACCTGCACAAATTTCACACACTAGACCACTTTTTCCAAAGATCCAGCAGCAGCTACAATAGGGTGATCAACAAGGAGTCTAGCAGATGTTGAACATCAGGAAGATGAATGGCAACAAGACCAGCTAACAAGACCTAGAGGGCTGAATTTGGCTAGAGGAGGAGGGCCAGAGGAGGAAGAGAATGGGGCTTGTACACCTTTAATAATAAAGCCATAGGAAAGCTCAGCAAGAAATCACTATTAAAGGTACACAAGCCCTGCCCATACTCAGGATCATTGATGTTCCCCTTTTCCTCTCCCCTTGTTTCCGGGGCTTCCCACAGCACCAAACAGGATGACTTCTTCATCCTTCACGAAGCCGAAACCGACATCTTCCTCGAGTCCATCTTCAAGACCGAACTCATCAGCCTTCTCTGTAAACGCTACGAAGAGGTGACCCAGAAAAAACTTCACCTCAGTTTCAGCGACACGTAAGTGGACCAGGCCAGCCATTCGGCAGCTCCGGGTGGAGGCAGCTGTGTTGACTCTGCATTGGTGGAGCGCACTATGAAAAGTCAGCATCTCCTGTCGCTTCCAAGTTGCTGGCAGGTTTTCCAGCATGCCTTAAGGGCAAGAAGCCTGCGGTCAAACTAAAGGATTATGGTAGGCAAATCTTCTTTCCTTCTCCCTAGTATCTTGCATTTAGTGTGCTTCATTTTCCCACTTTTCCTCAGAAGACAAACAGAGCCCTTAATTGAAGGAAATCGTTCACCCCAAACTCCACCCTAACTGGCTGCATCTTATAAACTAGCCAACATCACTCCTGCTTAATTGCCCTTTTAAAGCAAAATCCCAGAGTACCACAGAATTTTGAAACCCAGAGCCTTTCCTCCCAGTTGTCTTCAGCTGTGTTGGGCACTAACTCCCTTCGCCCCCTCACCAGATTGAGGGTGCTGGGTTTTGTAGTGTAATATCACCAAAGAGTGGCATATTCAGGATGGCCTCTTATTTGAAAGGCACATATTCTGCCTTTCTCCTAAAGAAGATCTAAAGGTACATTATCCGTGCTTTGACAATTATTCCATCACCACCAAAAAAGGGATTTCCCCGGAATGCTACTATTTTAAAAAAATTGGTTTAACACCGTCATAGAGTACACGTTGGCAATCAATCCTGCGAGTAGAGAAGCCAAATGAACCCTCTGATGGCTTCTTAACTGCCAGCGATTGGCTGCTGAGAACGACGGTGACGTTTCGCGCCCCACGATAGTGAACTACAGTAGGACCCCCTTATCCGCGGGATCATGGATTTCCCTGAAATCTTACTACAGTATTTTTAAAAAATTGGTTTAACACCGTCATACAATACACATTGGCAATCAATCCTACAAGTAGAGAAGCCAACTGAACCCTCTGGTGGCTTCTTAACTGCCAGCAATTAGCTGCCAAGAACAACGGCGACATTTCGTGCCCCACGATCGTGAACTACAGTAGGACCCCCCTATCCGCGGGATCAGTATCCACTGATTCATCGATCCACGGTCTGAAAATATTAAAAGAAAAATCCCCAATATATACATATATTTTAACGACGAACATTACCAGCACTTACCACAAAAGGGAACCAGAGACGGTGGTATGTCTGGCATTTGCTATAATCCACATTTTCCAGCATCCGTAGGGGAGGGCTTGGAATACAGGGGATACAGGGCTCTCTATGCTCCCCCCTTAACTGTACCCCTTGTTGGTCCATTCTCCCCCAGACTACAATTCCGCGTGAAGAAGGAAGGCTGGGGTGGAGGTGGCTCCCGGACGGTGACCTTTACGGGGGGACAAGGCAACGTGGCTCTCCTCAAAGCCTCGGGGAAGACTCTGACCATCTCCATCGGAAGTGGGCTACCCAAGAACTCAAGTAAGCGGTGTGCCACGGCTTCTATAATCCTTGCCACTGAGCCACGTATGACGTTCCCATCTTTCTCATCCATTCTTCTTCCCCCCAACAGAACCCACCAAGAAAGGGATGCAACAAAGCAAAGGTTACCTGAGGCAACAAGCCCCAAAGCGGGGGGCACTGCCAGCCCCAAGAGGTAGGAAAGCAAATGCCAATAATATAGATATAATGATCTATCCGTCCATCCAAGAACTCATCTCTCAAACCCATCTCTAGTTTCACGAGGACTAGAAAATTGTTCATCGTCTATGTATTTAATTTTTTAAAAAATCACTTAGAAAGCAGATAGGATACTGGCACAGCCAATGGTGTGGAAGCAATAAAGGCTCTCTTAGCCGCTGTTGCCTTTCAAACGGAAAACTTGGGATTGCTCAAGTTCCTAGTCCTCATGCAAGCATAAAGAAAAATGAAATAAAAATAGACATGATGCCGTGCTTGCCTCCGAGATGTACCATATTTTTCTATGTATAAGTCTATACATTTGTCTAAAATCTTTAGATTAAAAATTGAGGGTCATCTTATACATGAAAGTAAGCTGAGGAGAGAACAAAAACAACTGGAGAGGAAAGCAGGGATCAAAGTGATCCTGCAGCGCTTTGATCCCTTTCCCCCATTCAGATTTCTTAATTTTGGATTAGAAAAGTGGAGGGCATTTTATACACAAAAAAATACAGGTAACTGTAAAAAGGGGGTCCCAAATTGCTACCTATCAGAAGGGTCACATCAAGCATTTAATCTCAAGTCACCTCTGGCGAGCTGCAGGTTTACTCCAGGTGACTAGGCAGGGAATAACACCACAGATATGGAAGATAAAAAATTGCAGGCCCATTTGTAAGGTTGCTATTTTCAATACCTCTGCTTTAGGACAAATGCCTGCCGCTGCTTGCCGGAATGGGGCACCCCAGTTCCCTCGCAGCACCCCACCCCAAGAACACACCTCCACCAGGAGGCCGGGGCATGGCCCTCCGCCAGCCACGGCCCTCCCCAGGCAAGGGGTCAGCCGCCGGGCAAAGGCACCTACACCGTCCAGCCACAGCATGGAGTTCCTCAACGTCCCAGACCAGGGAATGGCAGGGTATGTACTGTATGGGGGGGGGATTACAAAACCCCACTTTGTCCACTCCAGGGCCACCCCAAAATCTGGGCATCTTCCAGGCTCCACAGAAGGCCACACTAACCTGTTTTTGTCTCCGACACGGCAGGACACAGAGGAAGAGGAGCATCGGACAGAGGCCTCCACCCGCCGCCGGGCGGCCCAAGCCTCAACCCAAATCATCCGGGCCCCGCTGCCGCGCTCTGTACCAGTACCTGGGACAGGATGTAGATGAACTCAGCTTCAATGTGGGCGACATGATTGATCTCTTGATGGAAGGTGAGGCTCCCGTGCTAAGTAACGCATTTAGGATCTCTCTCCCGATGTTTGAGAGGTTGGGATCAAGAACCACCCTGTCCTTTTAGCACACTTTTAACGTAAGGTGCGTTAGCGTAGGCTCACTGGCGATCAAGTTACAAACCAAGGGAAGGAGGCTCCAAGCCTAAAACAGACGGTTGAGCAGATATGTCTGGTTCCTGCCCATCTTTCATTCCAAACAGCACCGACTCTGAAGCCAGACAGATCTTACAAATCTGGCTTCTCACTTTCCCTTAAACCGCCCGGTTTTTGGAGGTTTCACGTGTTATAATTCACTGCAGAGGTGCGAGTTCCCCCCCCAAAAAAAATTCTAATAAAGCAGATCTTAGTTTTATAATGTTATTTTTTAAAGGTGCTACCTCCACTAAAATTGTGATTGAATGCCTTTTTCTTTGTTTGGCTGAATTTTGTCCCCAGATGCCTCCGGGTGGTGGAAGGGGCGTCTTCACGGACGTGAAGGGCTCTTTCCTGGAAATTATGTCCAGAAACTCTGAGCAAAGCTGCACTGAGCAGCTCCAAAATGAGACAGAAATGAAGCAAGGACAAGGTTGTACAAACTGGGTGCCATCAGGATTCGGGTCTGGGTAAAGCAACCCCCGGGCAGCTTCCCACCCAAGACTGCAGGCAAGACAGCTGCCAAAAATGACCGTCTGCAAAGCAGCTAAAACCTGGGAGACCCCAAGCTGGAGGTATGAGCAAGAAGCCGGAAAGTCAAGCCTAAGACGTGCACAAACGGAAGTATTGAATTAATGTTACGATCGCTCTGGTGCTAATTCAGTGAAGGGGAGGAGCAGGGGAAAATATTTTAAGTCATTGGGGGTTAATCCGCTTGTGCCATGACCTTCCTTGCACACAGCGCTGCTTTTGATGCAGAAGGGGGAGGTTAAAAGAAATTAAAATGGACGCTCTGGAAATGTCTGTGTTGGTTTTCAAATGTGTGCCCTACACTACAGTGTCCATCAGCCACAACCAGCATCAGAAAGACCGATTGGGGGGGGTTTGCCACCTAGAATAGCCAACCTCTGACTCCTTCTTCCTAGAGCCGAGCGAAGCTTCCCTGTTTTTAAAGAAACATCACCAGCCAGCAATAAAAGTAAAATATAAACTTTTATTTAGAATTAAAGCAAATACTCCGGTATTGCAAACACACAATATTAAACTTCCAGGGGAATATATGTGGCTAATTTGGAGTGAGCGTTGCTATTTTCGCACAGTCACGACATGCGGAGAAATGCAGGGAAGGGAAAAGAGAGAGGGGAAAAGATGACCCAAGCAGGAACATTTTCAATATCTCTCCCACCACCAACCACCACCAGCAGAGCGGCCTGGCGCCGCAATTCGTACAAAGAAGTCATTTATGTGCGCGCAAACACATACACACGTAGGCATTATAAGATGTTGACCAAATTTCTACAGATCCACCTCCTAAATAAGGAACAAGAAAGCTCTACGAGGCACAGAGGGGGGGAACCCAACAGAAAGAGAGGAAACAAAGAAAAAAAACCAAATAAAACACATTGAAATCTAATCTTCTTCCGAAGAGTCTCGTTCAAACGTGTAGGCCATGAAGCAAGCATCGGGTCGTTTGGGAACAAGGGGATGTCCCGGTCTCACAATCTCAAAGCCCAAGTAGCAGAAAGTTCGGAGCAACAAGGCTGCCGGAGGAGAGGGAAGGGAGGGGGAGAGAGAAGTGGTTTAGTGCAACAGGTTCTGGGAGAACTTGAACCCAGGACACTGATAACTTTTTTTAAGCACACAGGTAAGCCCAGCCACTTCCAACCTCCCTCGGTTATTTGTACACAGCCCAAACCGGCAGAAACGTAAGCGCACACCCTCCGCCGACTTACCTCTGTCATCTCTGTTCTTGTGGAAGCAAATGAAGACGTGGTCGACTTGAAGGTGTTCCTCGGCAAACTCGAGGAGAACTGCAAAACTGACACAACAGGAAGCGAGTCAATCTCTCTCTCTCGCCTCCTCCTCGGAAAGGGTTTGCATGGCTTGCGATGTGGGCGGAGGAAATAGCGAGAAGGGGGTAAAAACGAGCCCATGCAGCTTTAAAAGGAGAGCGCTGAGCAGCAGCCGCCGCTAGGGCTGCGTGTTTGTGGGCTCTTGGAGAAAGGCCCAACCTTTGATCCACAGGAATGAAAAACTAATCATCCCAGCATGGGGATCAAACCCATTTCAAAGCGAATTCACAACAGCCCTCTTCAGAGGAAAGTTATTTGCAAGAGCTAGACTCTCCCTGAAGTGGAGAAGATATTTCGAAGCAGAAAGGCGGGGTGTTTTGTAAATTCACATCTGACGTTCCATGACAGCAATTCCCCATTAGGAGAAAATAACCCCAAGCTCAGGATGCCTTATGACCTTAGCTGATCCCAGCGAGCCACAAGACAGGGCACGTCCCCGATTCCTCTACGTCTAAATACTCTTGAGCTGCTTCGTGTCCCCACGGGGCAAGTGCCACATAAAATTCTACGGGGCCACAGGTTCAACACAGAGTGTGAGATTCTCACATAAGGTGGAGACGCTCTTCCTTGAGAAAAGGACCGAGCAGGAACCTTCTAACCGCAAGAGATACCGAAAAAATCGGGTCTTAAGATCGGGCGGGCTCAACGGCGGTCTGCCTCAGGTTCCCGCCCCGCACCAGACCGACGGCCGTGTTTCCAGCCTTACCTGTCTTTGCTCCCTTCGGGCAAAGCCCCACCAGGGATTTCGATGTAGACACTGTTGTTATTCAACACGGTTCTCCAGCTGATGTGTTTGGCATCCGTCAGCCTGGACTGGATGTTTAGGATTCGCGTCCTGTTGTTGGAGGTGACCTCCTCTGTGACATTCAGCCGATTATCCTGCAGGAGGCAAGGCCAGGCAGGAACCGGTCAGTGCAGGTAGGGCTGAACTAGCAATGCACAGATCCAGGGGTTCATATTCCTCCCCCCAACCCCCTCCCCATGATAAAGTGCCACGGGCCTAACGCTGAGGCCCTTTCGAGTACTCCTCACTGCTGATGCAAACCAGATTTTCCCCGTTATTTCTAGGGTGGCTCCCCTTCCAGCGCAAAACACCCCACCCTGATTAAGAAACGAGAATGGTAGACAACCCCTGAACCCAGTGTCCTAAATCACCAGTGGTTTTTTTAAAGGCCAAAAGTTAAGAGTATTGTTAATCCATTTCGTCTTTCTCCCCCTCTCCCCATCTGATGTAGCATCAAAAAGCTGAGAGAGACCAAAAGGGGCATTTCACTGTAGAAAACCCACAGGTTCCTCTTGGTGGGCAAGAGACTGATGTTTCAGAATGAGTTGTATCTGAGCCATTGATTTTAAAATAATAATGATGGTAATAATCATAATGACCAGCGAATCTGGCAAAAGTTATCAGTAGGAAAACCACTGCAGCTTTTAATGACTTTTGAGTTGCTATAAGGAAGCTTTACTCAGAATGGAGAATGTCAGATACAACGTGGGGGGGGGGGATTTAAGCAAGTAAATGTAATTTAGAAGGGGAAATTATTTAAACAAGGAAGCATAATTTAAAAGGTGTGGATGCGCCTTCCCCTGGTGGCGGCCCATCCCGCCCTTGTTGAAACGTGCCGATTCCAACTGCGCATACTTACAGAATAAAATAAATTAGCTGAAAGATTGTGATCCCTCTGGCTATTCCCTCGCCCACCTGGGATCTTCAGGGGTGGGTGAGGGGCATCAGGAACACCACCGAGGCCCTGGACCCAGGTTACTACAGCAACTGAAGGAGCCCCTGGAACTGAGGAGGAGAAAGGCAAGCGTTAGTCCCGGGGGTGTCCATGCTGATTTGAGCGGAGGGGCCCAGAGAACCTTCAACCCCACTAGGTCAACTTCAGATCATCACGGATTGCAAAGCAAGCATCTTGGTCTTGAGGACTAGCCACATTGGGTCTGTTTTAACATCAAGCCCACCACTGCCAAGAAGAACAAGGCGCCAAAGGGTGTGCGTGGGAGGAGAAGGCACTTCTATCCATCTCATGATTCGGCCCATTGGGGGGGGGACCCAAGCAACCTGAACTGCCTCCAGTGCTTAGCCTCGGCAAAGAAAGAGTGTCAAAAAGGATACCTAACACTCTAAACTATTGAAAATCTCGCTAAAACGATGAATATTGGCGCTCCCTAGATATCCCATACATGGCCTGTGAGCAGAGAAAACTGTCCCTTCAGGCTTATTATGGTCTGTCCTTATCTTTTTTTTAAGCAATGGTTTTCTGCCACTCAGGAATCCTTCTATCCGTTGCTAAGGGAGCTCTGGATTTTCACCCTATCAAACTTTATCAAATGAAGGACCGTGTCTGTTTTTATGGTGTTTAAAGCTGGGAAGGGTTTCCATCTTTTAAAAAAAAGATTTAGTCCTTTAAGGCGATCACAGGAGAAAGAGGAAGCTTATTTGAAAGGCTCAGACATCCGTCTGCAGGTGGCACCAGCCAGCGATTACCGGCAGGTCGCCAGAAACCAGAGATCTTTGCTGAGGATCTGGGAATGGTCTCTTGGGACTACAACTCCCATTAACCTGGGTTTTCACCACCACCAGTGAGGAAGGCCAGCTAATTCCAGTTCTGCCAGCTCCCCCATTACTGTGTTTAAACTGGTGCTGGTCAGGAGATGTCCACCCGCTGTGACCAGACAGGGCTTTCTTGCGGTCAGGAATTGAGTGACCGTTTGATTCGGCCAGAAAGCCCAACAGCTTACGACAAGACCTTGCAAAACTAACCCCAAAGGATGGTCTGGGTTGGGTTCAACCACATCTTAACTCACGGGAATAATATTCAAGGATGCCACACCGACAGAGGGCGGGGGGCGGTGGTCTGAGAACGGCTGGAGACTCCAATTCCAGCCTTCTTGGCCCGGTCCCTTCCCCTTGCCTACCTCGCAGGGCTGTGTTGTGAGGGCCGGGATCCGCCCCCTCCCTGGTCTCGCCAGAAAAGCAGCTGACCCAGAAACAGGGTTCATTAGACAAAGGACGAGACGCCTATCCCCAACGTCATGAAAAAGGGGACGTCGGTCCCAGCAAAGCGACCAAGAACCGAAAACACAAGTTGTGTCTGCTCACAAGGGGGTGAAAAAATCCTTACTTGCTACATTTCCTTGCACCGGCTTTTATTTTTATTCTGAGCTGCATCGGGGCGGGGGGGTAAACAGCCCTGCCTGGAAGGAAGGGGGAGAAAGGGGACTTTCCTCCTGCCAACCAAGTTCCCGCTGGCCGGGGCCGATAGGACTTGTAGTCCATCACCCCCTGGGGCAGGCGCCCTCCTCTCCCCCTTCTCCTCTGCCAGGAAAAAAGGGTGGAGATCTCCACGGACCTAAACAGGGGAATTTCCCCCCTAAAATAATTACTCTATGTTGATATTTTGGGGAGAAAGAGGTCAGAAAATGGTTTCCTGTCACTACCCGCCTCTCAAATTAGAAAATACTGATACCCCCGTGGGTGCTCAGCAGGGCTGGGCTTTGTGGCCACTGGCCAATTCTGCCACATGAATAGATGCGTTGTGTGTGTGTTTCCTTGCTCTCCACTGTACCGTTTGGCCTTCCTTCTCTCTCAGCTGGTTATCTAAACATGTACATCCCGCTGGAAATAAAAAGACATTCCTGGCCTGGATAAAAGAAGGGTCTGTGCTTGTCGTGGCTTCTTCTTCTTTTTTTTCTTTTTTTTTTTTTGGATCAAGAGAAGCAGAACAATCCTGCTTCATAAAGAACAGATACCTTTTGTTACAAAAACACTAACACACTATGCACTTTATGGCTGGGGAAAGGCATCATCCCCTAAAATCCAGGTGGTACATCTGATTTTAGCCCCTCTCCCTTGCTTAGGAAGGGTCGGCCCCCTAAAATTGCTTTTAATTAGGACAAGACGACTTAAAAAAACAAACAATCAAAATAAAAAAACCAAACCAGCACAGGGGCTTCGCTGGGCTGCTAGAGGGAGGTAAAATGGCCATTTTGGTCCAGGGTTAGATTCAGAGAGATGGACCATCTGTGGGTGAATGGGGTGAGCCAAGGAAATCAAAACCCCGGGGAACACAAGGGGTCAAAATATACAGAGAGCCACATAAACAGGAGATCCATAACGAGCCCAGGGTGGCCAGGAACAAAACCAGCGCTTTCTGGATTATGGCAGAAAGGGCTGCAGTGGGAAAATATATGGATTTATTGCCTTAATAAATAGGGATCAGTAATGATTAAAATAAATAATAAACGCAACAGAGGCTGCTTTCTCCCCTACCACACTTGAAACAAAACTGGATTTGTTCCTTCCCTTCCCTTCCGATTCAGATTTTATCTCACCTCTCTCTTTTTTTTGGCTGAAAATTCAAGCAACTGCAAATTTGAGTTTCTTAATTAACAAGTGAAGCCTCCCTGATCTTCCCTCCAGATTCTATGGGGGGGGTCACAATCTTTATTTCTAGGACAAGAGAGCTTTCATACCTATATATAGCCATTTGCCTTAATGAATAAAGGTGACTCTTCTATTCTACCTCCTGACAAATGAGATATATTTAAAGATTTCTAAACACAAGCCAGCTTAATGGCTTGTGTTAATATTTGTAAATTCTCTCCCCCATAATATAATTAAAGAGGGACCCACTCCGTCACTCATGCAGATTTATTAAAAGGACGTCCCTTCCTTATCTTCTCTAACCCATTCCCTCAATGCAAAATCAGCAATTGGGCATACTAATTGAGAACGCTCCCACTGAGGATACTAATCAAGAAAGCTCCCTCATGCAAAAATATTGAAAATGGATGCCTTGGTTTCCATGTTCATCAGATCCGGGCCCCCTCTTTGGTGCGCAAGACAAATGATCTGCCTACTAAGGTGAGAACCACTCTAGAAAACCCATCCCTTTATTCTCCTTTTTTTGGCCTTAAAAGGCAAATTCTCAAATTAATACAGACTTGTGGATAAAAGCAAGGGAAAAGGCAGTTTCTCTCCAGCGATTCCCGTAAGGAAGGTGCTTGGGTGTACTGCTACACACATACCCCGCCCGTGATTGCCAAATGATGGTCGTCTGGCTGGGGATGATGGGTGGTGGAATTCAAGGGCTATGACAAGTGAGATGGCAGGGGTGTAGTCTCAGGCAGAGGGACAACACTCAGCTGGGGATGATTGGTACTGCAGTCAAGGACAGGGAGAGATCCACCAATGTGGGGGGCTGGAATGATGGGGGATATAATCCAGGTAAGATGAGGCCGCAAAGACTGTTGAGGAGCAGGGGATGATGGGGGTGGCTAGCCTCAAGAGACAGGTGAAGCCTAGTTGAAGAATAATGGAGACTAGTCTAGCGTTTGGAAACAACGTGCAGTGTAAAACCTGGGGCTCCTCTGCAACAGAACTGACGGGGATGAAGGGGGTTGTAGTTCTAGAGCTCTAGGCAAGGCCTGGATGGGAGGGAGGCTTTGTAGTCCCACACCAACATCAAAGACTTGGCTGGGAAAGAGAAAAAAAAGATTCTTGGACAGGAGGGATATGGGGTTTTGGTCTGTTGGTATATAACACGCACGTGGCTGGGGATGATGGGCTCTGTAGCACCTTGCCAACATGTGCAACCTGACTGGGAAAAGGGGAAAAAACCACCCTGGACAGGGAAGAGTTTTTTTGTAGCCCATGGCATCTAACAAGCACCTAAATGGGAGGATGATGGGGTTTGTAATTCAACGTATATAAACCGCGCCTCTAGGCCGTTTAAAATTCAGGAAACGGCTACTTTTAATTATTTAGCAGGGAGGGAAGCAAATAATACAATAAAGGGATTTGAGATTAGGCAACCTAATGAAGGAACATAATTTCAATTTTAAAAAAGCAATCAAGGGGGGGTGGGGAAGGCTGAAAGGGCGTGGCCTCCACCGGCCCCACCCTCTCTGGGGGGAGGGAAGAGGCGGGGCGGGCGAGGCCTCCTACGCTCGGGCCCGGTGTTAATTAACGCTAACGAGGAGGCCAAAGGGCCCAACACCCCGCCGCGGCCTCACCTGGTCAAAGCGGCGTTGGCGGGCAGGGCGGGCATGGCGTGGGTGTTTTTATTTCCTTCCTTCTCTCGGGCAAAGCAGTGACTGTTGAGGATCCGCTGCAGGGAGGATTTCACCATCCGGGCCGCCCCCTGGTCGCCGAAACCCCCGGTCGGGCCTGCGTCCCCCCCGCCGCCTCCTCGGCCGCTCTGCTCGTCTACTCCCCTCCTGCCTTCCTCCTGGGCTGCACAAAATGGCGGCCGGTTGTGCCCGGGCAGCGGCTTTTATCAATGAGGGGGCGGGCCCCCCGAGTCTCGCTCGCCAATAGAGTCAGAGAGAAGAGAGCGGCTCCGCCCCCTTCAGCAGAGGGGAAGGGCGTGGGGGCGCCCCCGCCGGGCCTCGGGACAGCCAAGCGTCGATCGCCACGCCCCTTCTTCCCTAGATAGGGAGGAAGCCACGCCCACGAACTTACGCCCATCTTCCTCTTTCTGAGGTAAACAACCTTCCTTTTCTCCTCCCGTCACCTTGAAGGGAGCAACTCGTTTCTGATTGGCTGAGGGGAAGGGGAAAAAAAGGAAGTCGGGTCAAGTAGGCGCATGCGCACACCGCTTGGTAGGCTGCCGAAGGGATTTTTTTTTTCATTCCATGCGCAAGGCATACGCAAATAAAGGATGGAGGGGCGGGACCAGGTGGAGAAAGACCTCCCTCTTCATTGGTTAAAGGAATGTAGTTTAGGCGTTTGATTGGTCAACCTTCTTTAAAAAAAAACGGTGGCGATGAGGACGAGGAGATGATAAACGGGGGAGAGGAAGAAATGCCGTTAGCTGAGGCAACTGCGCATGCGTAGAGGCCCAAAGGCGTATTATATAGGCCTTTATTTACATTAGACACAGACACACAAGTGTGTATATATCAGTTGAAATATGTGCAAGGTTACATATATATGTGCAAACAAGTGTGAAATATACATTTGTGTGTCTATAAATGCACACACACACACAAATACATATATTTATATTAAAAATAACAATGCTTAAGAACCCACAACATATATCTACATATAGATAAATATAGTGTATGTTATTGCAGCGGCTAATGATACATGAAGACCCACAGACCCTAGTAATACATAGCCACACACATAGCCACACATGTGTGAGGCTCCAGATGTAGCATAACGTACACAACATACATGTATCACTTCTCTATCCATATACAGTATGCATGCACACAGATACACACAGACTAAATATGTGTGTGTAAATGTGTATATACACATATGCACATATATATATATACATATACATTGTGTATATTTATACACAGAAACACATTCTCATACACTCAGCCCCCTAATATACGGGGAGCCATAAAATTGCCCCAATACAACACGCACGTCACAGAGCCCCCAAGCTCGGATGAATTTCTTGATTTTTAAAACGGCAAAGAGAAATGCTATGAGTGAAATTAATGATTTATATAGTATTTTATTTGATCTTGCTGGGGGGAGCAAAAAAGTAAAAAAAAAAAAGCAGGGTCTGCTTTCAGGTTCGTTTTCTGGGAGGGAAGGCTTTGCGCCACCTGCCTACCCTCCTGGAGTCTCCAGAAAAGTAACTTTTCGGCCCCGTCAGGGAGATGTGAACTCCCATGATTTTGTACGGTCCGAAGGATGCATTGCTAAATTTGTAAACCTCCCATTTTGTGCAAAACGGCATCCTCTGGGTTGTTGTTTTTTCCCGGAAGGCACCAGGTCCTTGATACCGGTGAAACTTTAATTAAGTGGAATATTTTTGATGCTCATTCCACCCTGATATTTTCCTTCCCTCCCTCTCTCCCTTCCTCCCTCCAGGAGGTACAAATGTAATTTCATTTTCAGGGTGCAATATTTTCTTAACACAATCTCTCCAACATTTTCTCTGTCTCTCTTTGTGCTTTTGGCTATGGAGATGGCTCGGCCGATCTCATTTAATCCCTGTTATTGCTGGGCCGGCCGGCATTAAGGACGCCACGGCGCGCCCCATTGTTTTGCTCTAGCCGTACGCCACGGTGCCGGGAAATGTTCTTCAAACAAACCAAACAAACCATTTTCGGTCTGGATTTCCGGGCCTAAACCTTGTTCTCCAAAACCGGACATCATCACAGAACCTGGATCCTTTGATTTCCAATTTTCCCAGTAAAGTTAAACTCCAACCCCAACGGGTGTTCCTCTGTGTTAGATGGGCCAAAATCGAGAGTCCAACAGAAAAATCCCAATTTTGGGGTACAGGACTGCTGCATGCCAATCCATCAGCCAGCCATGACTATTTCCAAACCGGCAAGGTTTAGAATTCAATTCAATTAAAATTAAATTTTAAAATGATGGCCATTCCACACCACCCACCGAATTTAAGGATTTTTAATTTTTAATTAAAAATCCTTAAATTCTTGAATGGCCAGAGAACCTTTCTCAGAGGTGCTCAAAATCAAATTTATTGATGCTAATGCTGAACACTTGAGGAAGAAAGGGTTGCTCTCGTTTTGAGGCCCCATGAAAGATTCTTGAGGTATTTCATTTGGGAGAGCTGGCATCTGCTAGTAATGTCCGCTTTCTAAAGTTTAATTGTATAACCTGGCTCGGAAATCAATCTTCTTGACTTGATCCTCAAGACAGCTAAGGTTGTCCATCTTTAGCATCTTTCTCTCGTGAATCTTCAAAAGGAAAACAAACAAACAAACAAACAAACAAACAAATAAATAAAAGCCCGTTCAACCTGCAAGAGAGCCACATTGTTTTCCACTTGGCCCTGCTTTTTGAGTGTGTGTTTTTTCAAGGTTGATTTTGTGCAAAACGTAGGATCGGATTTTGTGCAAACAGCAAGCCAAGTCAATGGGGTGGCAGGATGAAATGGCGTCTTTCCAGAAACAAAAAGGACTCAAAGGAGGGAGTTCGTAGGTTCGATACTTCCCAGAAAAGCCCACTGGAAATGTATTAATGCTAGGAGAAGTGGCAGTAGGGAAAGAGGAAGACCGACGTGCGATGGATTGACTAAAAAATGAGGAATCCATAGATCTTAATTTCCAAGATTTTAAGTCACCATACGTGGGAAGGAAGCTCACAACCCACATACGCACATAATTACCTGTTGCTCCACATAGAGGTTGCTACCACCCATTTTCAATAAAACTTTCAGCTACAATAGAAGATACTCCAGATATTCTCAAGGAAGCGTGGCTTATTAAATCTATGAAGAGCTGGTTGATGAAATAGCCTAAGTGATTCCTCTATACTGGCCTGCTCTGCTTGGGTGGCGTGGAATGGCCATCCTATGCCCCCCACCCAACATCCATGCCATTTCTGTATGTGGAAGAGAGGGTGTCATGTGGTGTTCCTGGCCTCAGGCGGCAAAATATTGGGGGTCATCCCTGAGACGTCAGATTTGCTGCAATGCTCATCCAGAATCCGAGGAAACATTCGGATCCCTGTAGTTTCAAGCAATGATTTCTTGGCAACATTTTCGGGATGGTGTAGAGGGAACCCCCAACCGTAGGGCCGGACCAAGCCCAATTCACTTCTTTCCTCCATCCGCTCTCAAGTCAGGTTGAAGTCTGATGGCCTTTTGCAAAAGGAAGCAGATGGCGTGTCTCTCCCACCCACAACCTCCCATTCCCGTCCCCCCGGGGATTGGCTGGTATTTTCTTTCGGAAGGATCCGTCCAGCACCTGTCACTGTATATTAACCGTAAGGCAGAGCGAGGTGGGGGGGAGGGAGAGCCGCCACCGATTCAGGCAACAAGCTAGAGACTAGACAGGAGGCTCAGGAGCCCCAGGTAAGACCCCCTGCATGGTCCGGGTTGCACGTGGCACGTCTCACGCGGGAAGCTTTTGCGTTGGCCAACGCCGCGTGGAGGTGCGGGGTTCGCCCACCCGCCGGGGGCCGGCGTCCGAGGGTAGATCTGCCAGCTTTCTTGGCTCAAAAGCGGGCAGACCAACCCTCCGGCCAGAGTCCAGCCCCGTTGCCTTGCATGGGCCACCTCGCACGGACGAAAGAAACTATTTTTGGGTACTGCTCTGGGGTTGACTCAGCAGCTCCCCTGCCCTGGTTTCTATGAGATATTAAATGCAAAGAGGAGGATAGTAGAACGAAACCCGTTTTTCCTTGTTTCATTTGCCCTGGAATGAACTAACTCCAGATGTTTTCCAGGCCTTTGCTTAGCATATGGAGCGCACACAGCCCAAAAGGGGCTGAATCTCCCAATTTGGGGACTGTTTTATGTCCCTGCAGAGAGATAGACATCTGGACTGCTCCCAGACCTCATCCGCCGTGCTTCAGCTAGTATTTATTTATTTTGTTATTCTGTTGTGTAAATGCATCTCTTTCTCACACGGAGGGTGATGGGAGAAAGCGAACTCCAGACTTATTTATGAGGAGAAGGACTCTAAATAAGTTACATCTCGTTGGTTTTCCTCCGTCTCTACTGTGTACAAAGGAGTAGATATTCAGCTGGCCGAAAGAATGTCATTCGAAGTAGAGCTTCCTTCCCCAAAGATTTCTGCTTATCTTCCCACCTGCTTCCTGCACATGGCCAATGAGCCGGGTTTGGGTTTGCGACCGGGAGGCGAAACCTCAGGGCTTTGTTTGCGGGTCAGACAGCTGGGGCATGGAGGTTTGAAGGAACAGTGTGACTGGAAGGAAAAACGTATTAAGAGGAAGCACACACTTCTATGAATCTGTGCCACAGACGGACAGGGCAGATGGATTATGTGATTGTGTAAGAAACGGTGATGGAAGTTGAAGCAATAATGACAGTTATTTTGCAGGCTGTCGGTTGTGCACCCGGTCATCTTGTTCGCACAACCAGCGGCGAAACGGGGTGCACAGCTGGCTTGCATGATTGCCGACACACACATGACATGTTACAACCATTTGTAAGTGAATGCTCCCTTCCCACATGTGGGCGGTTGCCACACCTGTAGTGCTGCTGGTAACGTTTCGAACCTTCCTTCAGAATCCTATAAGGGCATCCAAGCATGAGAGAGGATGCTTCATCCCTCAATAAAAACAAACTTGAAATTAACTCTCGGAGGTCTCTGCCAGCTTCTACTTGCTGCTTCTCTGCGCAATCATTCCCCATTTTTAAAAAAATGAAAAAGCAAAGCACAAAGGAACAAGTTGCTTTTCAGACCCTGCAACCAGTAACTTTCCAAAAAGCAGCAAATTCCTTGGGGAACGCTACTTTCCTCCCAGCGCCGCACCTGCCAGGAGACGGCCCAGTCGGAACAGCTTTTCTCAGGTTGGAATCAGGCCAACGTACAGTACTAGGTTTCATGTCCCTATTCTTAGAAAACTGCTGTAAGGTTTGCTCGATGACAGCACAGGGCCGAGGGGAGCCGGTTTTCGGTGTCTGGGTGTGAATGAAGGGTTTGGCGTCTCCCCGGGGAAGGACGATGCCTCTGGCCCCATGGCTAGGATGGCCACTTTGTCAACTGCAAGAAGTATACCCCACTTTGCATGAGATGGCGCCTGCTAGTTTAGATATACAGAGGCGTAATTTGAAGCGATGTTTATGAATGGAAACGGCAACCGCAGAATCCACCCTCTTGAAGGGTGGTAGCTGTGGGGCTTTGCAGATCTATTCGGGATTGAGTTAGTTGTAAGATTTTCAATCCAGAATCCTGTTGGAGTGGCAAACGGAGGAAAGGCCACGTCGTAAGCCACGTGTGTGTGATGCTGTGGCCCGGGTTGTGCCCCTCGGCCGCGTAACCCACAGCCTGCATCCTGACACTGGCCACTTGCCCAGAGGCCTGCACACGCGCAGGGTGAAATCCAGCAGAATGGCCACCCTCGAACATTTGCAAGTGTCATGATCTGATGGAGCGATGGCCTGGGGGCCGAGGCGGTCCCCGGGGTTCACAAAACCACGTCGCTGCTGTTTCTCTCGTTGTGATCTGCAGTTTTAAGAAGGCGAGATGGCAACGGAGCCTTGTGGGGTGATGGGGCAAAACGAGGATCACCCAGAACTTATCAAAGAGAGGGAAATTCCGGCCGAGGAGACACAGAAGCAGACGAACAAGGAGAAACAAGGAGGTATTTTCAGACTCTAACATGTGGGAGTCTCTGTTCAACTTTATTTTAAACTTTTTCCCTCCATTCTGGGGCAGATTTCCATCCTTTTGCCCAGGTACGAAGGTCTGCGGTTTGCCCAGCGAAGACTTTTCTTATCCTTGCTGGGAGGGACAGCATTTTGTTCCTCGAATTTCTGTGCTCGAAATTTCATGACCCCACTTTCTCCATGAAAAGGATCCTTAAGCCAGCTTGCTACTTTCCAGACAGCTTGAAAGAAAACAGCCAAACGGTGCAGGACATGGTGGGATATGTTAAAGTCCAGGGCTGGCTGATTTTTGACCCTTATTCACTTCTGGTTTCTTTTTTAAAAGGCTATTTATGGCCTAAACCAGGCTGGAGTGCAGGAAAAATGGCAAATCATACTCCTTCTAAATGCGAGGTATCCGATTTTAGGGTCCACATACTCAAAAGTATTTTAAAAAATAATAATAATTTGTGGGTTTGGGGTTTTTGCAGTGTCACCTTTTTTTTCACATGAATGTTCTTGTTTCAACAGATGCTGCAGTAATGGCGAATCAAGAGGCAGGGATCAGCACCCCAAATGTAGGTAGCCCTCCCGTTGCCAAGCTAAAGAAGTCACAGATCCCGTATCTAGAAGCAGTGCTCTCCTCAAAGGGAAAAGATATCTGATTTTAATAGAACATTAACTGCAGCATCATTGGGCTTTAGGATGGTTGGCTTTAGGATGGTTCATAAAACACAGGCTTCGTTGCTCACGTCAGGCCATGGAGAGATTTTTCTTCCCCTTTGGGGAATCAAAACTGGTTCTAGGGCTCACGCCATTTCCTCGATCTCGGATCGACGATGCAGACAATGTCTTGATTTTTTTATTTTTTTTTATTTTGTTGACTTAAAAAAAAAAGCTCCAGATGGCCTCAAAGGGGCGGTTTGGTCACGATCGGGGCCCTGATGAGTTTTAAATCTAGGCCAGATCTTTTCCCGAAACTGGGGACAAGCAGCAAAGGTGGGGGCACCTCGAACTTGGACCCAGGAGCACCAAAATTTAGAGATGAATCTATGTTAAGGAAGAAAAACGGCAACATCATCAGGACCTATCCACTTTTTTATAAAGCATAAATGTTCTCTTTCATTGAGACTCACATTCTCCTCCTTTTTTCATGGGGATTTGCACTTGTGATTCGGGGGCAGAGGGAGATGCCGTTTGCCCTGGTGCTAAAGAATGCCTACCAGGTGGTGGTTGGGTTGTGGCGATGGTGGTGGGGATCTGCATGTAGCAGACTTTAGGAACTCAGATCAAGCGTGTAAATTCATAGTGTCAGCTCTGCCAGGTGGTCCAGATCCTATAACCCTAAGCAAACCGGGGGATGTTGCTGTTTCTTTTCCCAACATAGATTCACCTCTAAGTTTCACACACACACACATCCTGTGAATTTTGGTGCTCTGGAGCCAAGCTAAAGAAGACACTAATCCCATATCTAGAAGCAGTGCTCCCTTCAAGGGGAAAAGAAACCTGATTGTAATAGAACATTAAATGCAGCATCATGACAGCCGGGTTCGGGTTGAAAATTAGGGAACCTGACCTCCTTTTCTTAATATACTGTATATAAAAATAAATGTTTTCACTGGATGATACTAGGCACTGTGATTCATGAAAGAACCATTTTTATTCCCTGGTTCAACCAGTTTTCTGTGAAACAATACATACCAAACTCAGCCGGCAAAATTTCAACCCTCCACCCGAGTTGTTGGGAAGTTTTATCTGTGCTGGAACTGCGTCCAAGGACACAGAAATACGGATCCACAAAGAGGCGTATACAGTATATAAAAAAGAGAAGACACCCATTGTATTAGCCTCACAATACGAGAAAGAAAAGCAGTCCCCCAGCTCCTTGAAATTCAGAGCTGGTTACTTCTTATAGTTTAGCAAAAAGAGGGAAGCAGAGCTAAGAGTCGTGATGGGTTAGGCTGAGAAGAGTGAATCAACTTAGTCACCCAGTAAATTTCTTGGCTTTGTGGGGCTGGCAACCCGGATCTCCCAGTCAGAAGCTTCGACTACTGGGTATTCATCACTCCTGACTGAGAGGTGGCCAAAATCATCTCTGTTGTTTCTCTGCATGAGTCTTTTACAATCAGACCTCTTTTCCCCTTTGAGGGGAGCACTGCTTCTAGATACAGGATGAGTGTTATGTTTAGTTTGGCCCTACAAGCCTCCAGGGGAGAAGATTCTAGGAATGAAAAGCGCCTCTTGTTTAACTGCCTTTTAATATTATAATATATTGTGTTTTTAGTTGCACCTGTTTTTTTAGCAATTTGGGGCCCCTGTTTTGGGAGAAGATTGGGATATATGTATTATTCCATCAATAAGCAGACCCTTCTCTGTTCAGGGGATAGAGAAGGAAGAGGGAGGCTCGCTCCACGTCATCGAAAAGGGTCTCGATGAGTTTGTAGATAGCGTGACCGAGGTCGCTCCATCAGGGCTTCCTGAGAAATCACCGGAAGAGGCAAAAAACCCTCTTTCCGTAAAGGCACCCATGAAGGCACCCCGGGCCGAGCAGATTGCCGAGAAGGTGCTGAGGGCGGAAAAGGTGCCCGAGAAGGCGCCGCAAGCAGAAAAAATCCCAGGAAGGGAGAAAACGCCGGAGCCAAAAGCAGCCCGAGCCGAAAAGGCCCCAAGGCCCCAAGAGAAGAAGCCGCCTGAGAAAGCCCGTCCAGCTGCACCAGCAGGTATGAGTTTCTTATGATTCCTGTCCTGCTGACTCTCCAATGATCAGCTGGGACAAGCTGCCCATTTCTCCATATTCAGACAAAGGATTCTGGGGTTTTTGTGTGTGCTTGGTGTCGGTTTTATGCCTTCTTGGCCGCCTAGAGTAGTCCATCGTGACTTTTTTTGTGTGTGCGTGGTGTCGGTTTTATGCCTTCTTCATCTTTCTTCATTTGCATTAGTATTTCTTTGTCAGCCATAGGCGGGATATAAATTAAATAAAATAAAAAAAAATAAAAAAAATTCTTCATCTTTCATTTGCATTAGTATTTCTTTGTCAGCCTCCCTCTCAACCCCGTGAGTTCAAAATGTCAGCGACACATCTCTATGTTTAATGGCTCAGCCCTAATTCGAGGGGCCCGTGTTACATCGAAGCCCGCGACTCTGTGGGATCGATAGAACCAGGAAGGCGCCGGTGCAATGCCAGAAATGGAGTTTTCTAACTTTATACTGAAAACGAGGAACATGTTTGAGGAACGAATGAAAATTGCAATGAAACTGGAAATATGGATGGGCTGAAATTTAAGAACTTGGGAACACAAAAAATGTTATCATTAGCTTTGACCTCCTCTGGAATCCGTTCCAGGGAAAGCCGAAGTTGGCTTGAGTTCGAGTCCCGTTGGTCCTCATGGCACCCATGGCTGATAGGCTTTGTAGTCTGACAGTGTCTCAAAAGGGCTGCCCCATTGTCCTCCTTTGCAACTTTGGGGTTCAGGCCAGGCGGGGTGTGTGTGAGAGCCAGTCTCTCTCTGTGTGTGTGTGCTTAAACTTCCCTTTCCTTGAATTGATTTTAAAATCCCCTTTGCATGGCAGCAGCCAAGCCTGTGAGAAGGAAAACGGAAGCTCGTGGCAAGGACACGGTTCCTTGGGAAGGGTTGACTCTGAACAAGTGTCTCCTCGTGGCCTCCCTCGTGGCCCTTCTCAGCGTGGGCTGCCAGGTGTTCCAAGGTAGGAGAGGAGAAGCCTGCTTACTGCTTAATTTGAGCACCCTCAGGAGAAACTCTTTGTCTTCCCCCAAATTAATATGGCTTTTTGCACATCACAGCCCTAAAAAAAACCCCAGGGGCTATAACCCAAGGAAGAAACCCCAAAGTGGCCTCTGACACAATGCCCTGGCCACGCGCTTGTTCACAAGACAGGAAATTCCCTCATTCTAAGTCTCCGTGGCCGATTTTCCCCCGTGGGGGATTGGAAGGGATGGGTGGAGAGAAAGGGCTTTGGGGGGGGGCGAGACCTCTCTCCGTAATATGGCCCCGTCTTTTTTCCTCACCCAGAGATTATTGAATACAGCGAGAACGTTATCAAGACCGAGCTGGAAGCGTGGACCTCGGAAAGCGGCGTGGGAGAACTGGTGAGTTTGGGCGGGTGATGTCGAGTGAAAGAGAGGGAAGTCAGGAGGGAAAAAGAGGCGGTGGTGGTTGTTATTAGCTGTTCCTGCCGGGTCGCCGACAAAATACGGCAGAGGAGGTATCTTAGGGTCAACCTAAGGGACATCAGGGGGAGCTGAGCTCCTTCTTCTTCCTGTTGGGAATCTGCTGGCTTTGTTTCCAGACCAGCTGTTGCGAGAAAAGCTTAACAGTCAAGTCGGGTTGCTTTGGCATGGAGCACAGGAAAGGTTTGCGTGCCTAGGGGGAGAAAGTGCCATTAGCTCCCAACCGCTGGATAACTGGAGTGGCCATTCAGAGGTGGGAGGGATGACGGCCAGAAGGGGCCATGGACTTTGGGTCTTGGTTGGGCCTAGCAGGAAGCTTGTGGCTTGTTTCGGGTGGCATCTGCTCAACCATTTGAGAGCCATCCCTGACGGTTTTCGGGACCAGGGGGATTAACAGTTCGGAATGAGACCGGTGGTGTTCTTTTTTTCCCAGGAGGAGCGGTGGTTTTACGAGAGGTGGCTGGACTGGTCTGATGACGAGGAACCTCTGGAGATGGAGGAGGAGGAGGAGGAGGAGGAGGAGGAAGAGGTCCTAGAAATGGAGGACGAGGAGGAAGAGGAGGAGGAGGAACCAGAGTTAATAGACATAGAAGAAAAGGAGGAAGAGGAGGAGGAGGAGGAGAAGGAGGAGACCGAAGAGGTGCCAGTCTCCAAGGGGAGCTCCAGAAAGAGCCGAGAAAAAGCAGTCCAGAGGGAAAAGATTTCCAGAGGTCGAGCTCGCCGAAGAGGTGCCAGTATCCAAGGGAAGCCCCAGAAAGAGCCGAGAAAAAGCAGTCCGGAGGGAAAAGATTTCCAGAGGTCGAGCTCGGAAAGATCACGAGCCAGTGGGAAAAGAAAGGGAAGAGGAGGAGGAGGAAGAGGAGGAAGGACCGCCTTCTCACGGCCTACGGCATCGCCGGGAAGGGAAGGCAAAGCGTGAGCCGCAGCGGCAGGAGGAGGAAAGGAAGAGTCACCACCGAGAGGAACGAGATCGAGGAAAGGGTCACCCCAAGCCGGAGCGGGACTCTCGGCCTCGCCGGCTCGAGCCCAAGATAACCCCACGCCTGTCCTCCTCCCTGTCCAAGGAGGGGGCCCACAAGTTCGGGCGGCACAAGGTGCGAGAGGCACGGCGGCAGGATTGAGAGGGCAGGGGCGGTGTGGAGAGGCCTCCAGTTCCGTCATCTCCACCGCCATGACCTCGACACCGCCAGGCACCGAGTCTTTGTACCTCTGGAACCTCACCACTCCGACTCGCCGGTTGACCTCAAGAAGCTCCATGCTTTTTTTTCCCCTTCTCTTTTCTTTCTTTTTTTAAATTGGTCTGCCTCCTGCCTTGATTTCCCTCAGTGGAGAAAAAGAAAATGAAGAATGGATTGGGTTTTTTCCCCCCATCCTGGGTCAAAAAACAAAAAAAAGTAGAAGGAAAAGCACATTTCCTGTTTTGATGTTTTCCATCCAGGCATGCTTCATTTTGGCTCTCCATGCCCGAGCGAACCTTGCGAATATGTAAAAGGAAAACTTTGTGAATTTGCAAAGGGAGCCCCGTGTTTCCCTCTGCAACGACCGGTCAGGAAATTAAAAGAAAGCTTGTTTGCCAGATGCAGCACGAAACAGGGCTTTGCTCAGAACAGGGTTTTGTTCCCTCCTGGAAAAGCTTTTTTTTTTTTGCCTCCTGGAAAAGCTTTGTTTCTTACTGGGATGTCTCATTCTTTCCTCGGGAGGCGTGGAGATGAGGGGATAATGAGGCTTACGAGCCAGTGGCTTTGCGGCAAACAAAATCTTAAGCTCCCACGCATTGCGAGGCTTTAAGAGATGGTAAGAAAGCTGAGTAATCAAAAAAAGCTCTTTTTTTGCCTTTGTTTCACACTGGGACGTCTCATTCTTTCCTCGGGGAGGCGTGGAGATGAGGGGATAACGAGGCTTACGAGCCAGTGGCTTTGTGGCAAACAAAATCTTAAGCTCCCACGCATTGTGAGGCTTTAAGAGATGGTAAGAAAGCTGAGTAATTTGGATCATCAACACAGTGGAGTAAGAAAACGTACAAGTTTTTTTTTCTTATTTAAAAAGATAAATTTGGGAAATGCTTGACACAGAAATAATATATAGAGAAGCAGCTTTGCCTCCACCCGCCCCTTTCCTGCTTGAAGAGATAGTGAGAAAGCTGAGCAATTTGGATTATCAACCCAAACACAGTGGAGTAAGGAAACGTACAAGGTTTTTTTTTCTTATTTAAAAAGATAAATTTGGGAATGCTTGACACAGAAATAATATATAGAGAAGCAGCTTTGCCTCCACCTGCCCCTTTCCAGATATGGGGGCCTACAATTCCCATGATCCCCAGCCAAGGTATCCCAGAGGCCGAGGGTGATGGGGGGCTGTAGTTCAATGCCATCTGGGCCGCCTTTCGCACTCGCCACACAAGTCCCTTGCAGGTTTTCTGGATCGCCTGCCCGCTTTGACCGGGACTCCTGTTTGAGGATGATGGGACATGGAGTGCAATGCCTCTGGGAAGGCGGAGTAGAATTTAGAATCAAGATTGAAGACAGGGAGGGGGTTTAATCAAGATATATTTGCCCAGCTTTGTAACGGCCACTCGTACAGAGTGTGGCAGGTGGTGTTTATATTTTCCCTTTGGCTTAGATGTCTTTATAACATATATAAAATAAATATGTGGGGGAGGGAATCCCAGTGATATCTCGTTATTTTCATTCCATGCCCTGATATAATTTTTAAAGCATCATATATGTACTTTAACGTTTCACAGAATCTTCCCTTTACAGACAAGACAAGCGGGGACAAAATTGTGCCAAATATATAATCCTTCAGTAATCTCTTTTCACTTCTAATTAAAAAATACCCACAGAAAATCTCAATGGACTGAGTCACTCTGCAGTAATGGGTGCCCTTTTTTAAAAAAATGAAATGCAACATAAAATTATACATGGCCGGAGTCATTCTGCAGCTGTGTCTGCCATGGTTATGTTGACTCAGAAAAAAAATTATATTGCTGCATTTTTTATATCAAGGCTACGCATAAAGGGTATACAGATTATTTATTTTTATTGATTGATTTTGTCTTATTTATAGGCTGCCTTTCTCCTGATAATGGGACCCAAGGCATCTCACAGTTTTAATTCTAAAAACACAGTAAGATGTATATTTTAAAAAAAAAACAACACTATAAAACGGATCAAAATGCAATCAAATACAGTAGGACCCCCTTATCCGCGGGATCGGTATCCACAGATACACTTCTCCACAGTCTGAAAATATTAAAAATACTAAAAGCAAGAAGGGACCCAAGGCATCTCACAGTTTTAATTCTAAAAACACAGTAAGATGTATATTTTTTAAAAAAAAAACACTATAAAACGGATCAAAATGCAATCAAATACAGTAGGACCCCCTTATCCGCGGGATCGGTATCCACAGATACACTTCTCCACAGTCTGAAAATATTAAAAATACTAAAAGCAAGAAATCCCGGAAAGTACTTCTAATGACAAAGTTACCAGAACCTGTTTTTCTACCGACACCCACACGATTCTGCCACCATGTTGGGGTAAGCTTTAACCACTAGGCCCCCGTCTTTGGTGAAGGTGATCATGGTTTTTTGGGAATATTTCACCGGGATGCAGCAGGGGGGCCGGGTGACTGGTGCACCCTGCTCGTGCATGCGCAGGAGGAAGATGGTGTGGTGGTAATGATCCGGGATGCGGGTGGAGAGTGGGCTGCGGCAGGGCCCCACGCAGTTGTTAGCGTTGTACGAGCTGGGGAGGATGATGTGGCCGGTGGAGACGAGGTCGATCTCGAACTCCCGCAGCCGGCAATAGTCATCCTGGTGTCGGGCCCGGCGGTGTCCCCGGGAGGTGTCCCGGTGGGACTCCCACCACCAAGCCCGCACCGCCTGGAGGGCTTTGAGGAGAAGCAGGCTGTGAAATTTCTCCCCGGCGGTACGGGATCCCTCTGCCCCAGCCGCGTCGGCCACGGAGGGGTCCCCCGGCCCTCCAGGCGGGTAGTAGCAGAACGCCAAGAGGACACGGAAGAGGTCCACATTGGCTCGAAAGGACGGGAGGGCTTGCAGGTCCCGTATCACCGAGCGCAGCTTTGTCAGGAGCTGCTCCAGCAACGCCCCTCTCAGGGACCACTGAGCCACCTGGTGGTTCACCCACGCCTGGTGGTCCTCTGGGAATAGGACCACCAGGTGGTCCTCCACCCGCACCAGCTGCTCCACGGCCAGCTTCTCCGACAGGTTGAGCTGCAGGTGCGGGAGGCCCTCCAGCGTGCCCAGGTCCAGCTGGAGGTGCGGCCGAGAAGCCAACGGGGGCTCCCCAGAGGGGCTCAGGACTTTGTGGACGAACTGAGAGAGAGCTTCCAGGAAGTGTCTGGTGCTCGAAGGGATGGGAGCCGAGAGGTTCATCCAGGGAGCAAGAGCGTTGGGAGAGGACGGCGCTTCAGATGCTCCGAACCCCGGCAAATCGCTGCAGAGAGAAAAAACAAGAGTCCCTTGGTGAATTAAGACACACCTACCCTCCAGGCTGGCTGGCTGGCCATCCATCCATCCATCCTCAGCTCCTTCCATCCATCTATCCATCAGTTCCCCATTATCAGCTCCTTCCATCCATCCATCCATCCATCCATCCATCCATCCATCCATCCATCCATCCATCCATCCATCCATCCATCCATCCATCCATCCATCCATCCATCCATCCATCCATCCATCATCAGCTCCTGCTTCTTTCTCAATGTCACACTCCGTGCCCAAGAAGGAGCATTGCAACCCCAGATTTGCAACACTCCCCCCTGCAAGTACAGAGCCCCAGCTTCCATCGCCACACCTCCAGGCCAAGATGGGGAAAAGGCAGCCCTGTTTGGTGGCCCCCCTGGACCTTCACGCTCCCCATCTGCTCACCTGACATTTAGGTACGGGATCATGTCCACTTTGCCATCGGCTGCTAAGAAAGACGACAGTGGGAAAGCGGTGACGGCAGGTTTCCGCTGGGCCAGTAGGAAGACAGCGGGAGTCCTCCGGGTGAAGCACTGGGCATCAAAGCCGAACAGGAGGTCCTGAGCCTCTTGGGGGGAGAGGGTGGCACCTGGGGAAGGTGTGAAAAAGAGAAGAAGGGTGGCTTTAGGGAAAAGTAACAAAACCAACAATCTCTTATGGCTTCAAAGTTTCTAGTCCCTAAGAGAGATGGGGCTCAAAACGGCCTGGCTGTCCCTTCAGTTTATTGTTTCAAATTCTGCATTTTTTCACTCTCGGGGGGCAGCTTGGAGGGAAGGCGTAAAAGCAGCCCCGCCACCAGTTGTGGGGTACGTGAAAGCCAAAGTATAAGATCAGAAGCCTAAAAAGAGGGCTTCTACTGAATATGTTGTTTTCCTGTGTTCGTGTCTTGTTGGGGAGATCCACAGCTCCACCAAATCGTACAGAAAAACCTGCATTTCAGCAGGTGGGCCGGAACAAATCATGTTTTCAGAGGGGTTAATCGCTATCCTTTTGGGGTTCACCCCTGGCCAAGCTCTACCTGTGCTGTTGAGATGCTTGATTCCAAGAGAAAAGGTCATGATGATCCGCCCGGGGGTCTGGCCCCCCAATGTCGCCGAAGCCTGGAGGACAAGGTACCGCGTTTGCTGGGAGAGGCAGACCACCTGGGCACAAAAAAAGAGGAAAATCTAAGTAAAATAAAACAGTACCCCCCAAATGCCATCAAGAAGGCCAGAGCCGGCTTCTCAACACCTCCCACTGGCCTTGAACAGTACTCGGACATGAGGGGGAGTTCAACAGGTAAAGCCTTCCGCATCCAGCATCAATGTTCAAACCAAAGGCACCCAGTTTCTAAGAGTTAAGGTGCTTTTTGTCCACAGTTCGAACCAAAGGCACCCAACTTCCAAGAGTTGAGGTGCTTTTGTCCACAGTTTGAACCAAAGGCACCCAACTTCCAAGAGTTAAGGTGTGCTTTTCTCCACAGTTCAAACCAAAGGCACCCAACTTCCAAGAGTTGAGGTGCTTTTGTCCACAGTTCAAACCAAAGGTACCCAACTTCCAAGAGTTGAGGTGCTTTTGTCCACAGTTCGAACCAAAGGCACCCAACTTCAAAGTGCTAAGGTGCTTTTGTCCACAGTTCAAACCAAAGGCACCCAGTTTCTAAGAGTTAAGGTGCTTTTGTCCACAATTCAAACCAAAGGCACCCAGTTTCTAAGAGTTAAGGTGCTTTTGTCCACAATTCAAACCAAAGGCACCCAGTTTCTAAGAGTTAAGGTGCTTTTGTCCACAATTCAAACCAAAGGCACCCAGTTTCTAAGAGTTAAGGTGCTTTTGTCCACAATTCAAACCAAAGGCACCCAGTTTCTAAGAGTTAAGGTGCTTTTGTCCACAATTCAAACCAAAGGCACCCAGTTTCTAAGAGTTAAGGTGCTTTTGTCCACAATTCAAACCAAAGGCACCCAGTTTCTAAGAGTTAAGGTGCTTTTGTCCACAATTCAAACCAAAGGCACCCAGTTTCTAAGAGTTAAGGTGCTTTTGTCCACAATTCAAACCAAAGGCACCCAGTTTCTAAGAGTTAAGGTGCTTTTGTCCACAATTCAAACCAAAGGCACCCAGTTTCTAAGAGTTAAGGTGCTTTTGTCCACAGTTCAAACCAAAGGCGCTCCATTTCAAGAGGTCCTCCCCCATTTGCCACCCTCCCCATAATTTCTTCTATAAAATTACTGTACTGTAAAAAGGCCTCTCACATCCCGAGGTGGCTGAAGGGTCGCCTGTCGTTAGCTGGCTGGAATAACACGGGGTTTGAAGTCTTGGGCTGCTCCTCCAGAGATTTGGATTTCGAATGCTCCACTCTGCCTCCTTTATAGGGGTTTGGCTGAAGGATTGTCACAGGGCCCCTTCCAGCTCTGCCGTTCTAAGATGCCAGGGATGATGCCTTTGTGGGCCAAACACGTACCCTCTGAGGCTACATATTGATGCTTGCAATACACAAACGTTCTGTCCTCTCCTTGAGATATCTGTGGACTGCAAGTCCCATCATCCACCACTGCCAACGCCAGCTTGGGACAATGGGGCTTGCAGTCGAAGAACACAAGTTGGGAGGCCGCATCTGCCTTTTCCTTTAATTCGGAAGATAGGATGAACACACCCCGGGTTCCAACTCCTGCTCACGGAGTAACCCAGGAAGGGGAGCCTTCGGATTTGGCCTACCTGGCAGGGTTGTTGTGATTACTGCCCCCCAAAAGAAGTAATCAGTGGGAAAAATTTCTGCCACCACATGTAGGTCCTTGGAACGATTTTAAAAACTGGGCTGTCTCATCCCCACCCCTTACCGACCTGCGTTTGAGAGAGACCTTCTCCACCCACTAGGAACTTATGCCATGGACCAACTGCCCCCGAGATCTCCTTCCCTCGGTAAAACACAAGAAGGGCGAGGTGGAAAAGGCTAAAGGTGTTGGCCGTGGCCGTGTGAATCGCCAACTCGAAGCGAAGTTTCGTGGCCGCCAGCTCCCATTTCACTGCAAGAGAAGGTTTTAAAAAGAAATGCATGAGATCTTCTTTACTGGGGGGAATATGTCATTGAATTAATTTATATATTTTGGGTTGGGGCTTTAAAAAAAAACAAATCCAGTCTTGGAAAGTCACAAACAGCCCACCCGGGTTGAATATCTCATGCCTTCCCTCTGTTCCTCCTGTTTAGCTTTGCCCCTATTCCCTGTTCAATGGGAAAGTGTGTATTTTTAAGAGTAATCAATTTAAATGCAACACAATTATTAGAAACATAAGGTATTGCAATCACACATGTTAAGAGAACACAGTTTGCTGACTTCCCTTCTGGCGGAGGAACACAATCGTGACCATTGGTTTCCAAAGCTTATTTAGTATTACGTGCTCCAGAAAGTGAGATATTAATTTTTAAATCCCCCCCCCTACATTGTACCTATAAATGCCAACAGCAAAGATTCACAAGTTGCATGCCTTCTGTTTTTCAAGTTTGCTCCATTTATTTTAGATGCAAGGAGGGATTTCAAAGGGATTCATGTTCTCTGTTCTTGTACTCATGCTTTTAATAGCCCTCTCATTTATCATGTTTTCATGGAGTACTCCAAAGCCCAGAAATCGTGGCCAGCCCAGCTAGCAGGGAAGGCTTCTGGAAGTTATAGTCCCATTTTAGAGGACCCACCGGTCTTAAAGAGACCCAGGTTCCAGTCCAAGAAGACCAAGTCTGGACTTGACGTCCCAAGAGTTACCACTCAAGAGAAGGCAACGTTCCTTAGCTTCCTCTCCCTCCTCCTTGACTCCTTACCTTCTTCCAGATGGAGCAAGAGAAAGTGGTTCTCCTCTGGGACGGCCAGAGAGTCCCCCACGTGCCGGAGGGATGAGAGGAGGCCGTGGGGAGCATCAGTGGGGCACATCCCAAAGATTTCCAGTTCCTCGGGGCCCCAGGACGAACTGCTCACGGCCTTCAAGAAACTGCTGTCATAGCTGTTAAGTAGACCCACCACCTGCAGAAGATGAGGACTCTGGAGGTCTCCCCTTTCCAGTTTCACCTGACACACCGGCTCATCCGGGACCCCATGGGGCCAAGACGAGAAACTAGGCAGAGGCCACAAAGACCTCAACTCTCCGTCTCCAAAATGTTTAGACGCTGGAGAACGGCCATGGACGTCTCCACGGTTGACCAACCCAAGAACGTCTTCCGCCCATGGTCTTCCAAAGTCCGCCACATCTTCCTCTTCTGGATCTCTGGTTTCCCTCAAAGCGGGGGCCTCTGGTTCTCCCAAAAGGTTCCCCTTTGTAGGGACGGAGGCAGCCTTGGCCATCAAGGACAAGACCAAGATGACTCCAGCCATCACGGGCATCTTGGCGCTCCTTCGTTCTCCGTGAACTCAACAGCAGCTGCTCTCCTGAGAGGTTCGGCGGCCACTAAAACCATCCTTTTGAAGGCCAGGCTCAAAGCAACAGGCTGGACCCAGCCCCGTCGTAGTCCAGATTTTCCCCTCGAAACCCCGTGTGTCCTTGAATCGGAGATGCACACTGCACACCTCCCACAAGGAATTCACGGGGGAGAGAAGGCCGGCCAGCAGGACTGAAAGAAGTCTTTCTATTCTATTTTCAGCCGCCGATATCTCTTGAGGGCAAAGAAGCCATTCCTGCTATTGTCGAGGTCAAGCTTCACTTAAAATCCCTTTATCTTGTTCCCCCAAAAAGGAGAAGGAAAACGACCGTATGATACCTAACACCTCTCATGGGTTTCAAGGGCTCTGGAGGTGGACCCAGCATCATCTCTGGGAACTGGGTGCGAACGTAAAGAGTAGGACCATGAAAACCCAACGGGCTTCCAGGGTTGACCGACCAGCCCCACAGAAATCTCATAGAATCGGGAGCCAGCTTTCCTTCCAATCTTGCAGGGCATACGTATAAAGGGCAGTTTTGACACAAACGCCACCTTGCGTCAAATAGAATGGAAAGGAAGTCATTCTAAAACATGTATCTGAGGACTGGTGGCTAACCCATAGAGCCGGTCAGAGATGGGTTGCCCAGGCATCAAGTGTGCTTGTCCTGTGGAACTCCCTGCTGCCAGATTTTGGGGGATGGGTTGGGATCAGAAATTATTTAAAAAGTTTGGGTTTTACGCAGATTGTACACCGGCTTGAGTGCTGCTGTGTTGTGGAAAACTGGGGTATAAACATAAAATAATAATAAAATAACAAAAATAATAAACAAACCATTTCGGAAGTAAAATGGCCATAATGTGGGGTCTATCTAAGAGGTTTGGAGAGGGCCCCAGAAAGAGACTGGGGCACAAATAAAGTTGCCAGCTGGTGTCCCATCATCCTGGTCCTCTGATCATATTGGGATACTCAGATACAGTATGTGGTCTTAACACCCGGGAGGCACGCATGTTCATCAGCCTGGTGCACCAGATGTTTTGTACACTGAGTACAGCTTCCAGCAGGCTCTGCCAGCATAGCTTGTGGCAGAAGATGATGGAGTTTGTAGTCCAGCCCCCAAAAAAGAAACAACACTCCAGAGGAGCCACTGACTGCTTCCCTCTGGCTATCAAAACAAGGTCTGATTGTTACTGAGCCATGAAACTTCAGCCCAGTTTTTTTCTCTTCCCAAGTCCACCCTACTTTGCAGGGTTATCGTGTGGAGAAAAACCAGGAGCCACTTACACCCCCCCTTTGGTTTTATGGGAGGAAAAGCAATAAAGAGCCGCGTATCCATGGGGGATCAGTTCCTAGCCTTCCCTGTGCATGCTGAAAAATGCAGATAATAGTGAATGCAATTAGAATTTAACAAACTCCATATAAACTGTAATGTGACCTCTGGCTTCATCCCATGGCCACTTCTGGGAATGTCATCATTAGAAGTACATCTTTCCAGGATTTTTCTTTTAATAATCTTAAGATTGTGGATAAATGGATCAGCAGATACCTGATCCCGCGGATAAGGGGGTCCTACTGTATTAGGGCAAAAGCAATTCCTTTAAAAGAATATACAATAAACTACCTACAAAACTACGATGAGGTGGCACGGAAACCTCCACAGGGCTGAATTAACTGGATTTATAAATGAGATCATAGTTAGAGTTTGCAATCGCTAAGAAAAAAGCCACACAACAACAGCAAAGCATTAAAAAGGTTATTTTTCTTTACCTCTCTCTCTTTAATGAAGCTATAGGATTCTCAGCCAAAAGTCACGGGTGTATTTCTTTTAAAAAAAACACGACAACACAGAAGGTGTTTTCAACCAGCGGCACCCCAAACGCAACAGGGAGCCCCCAGAAGGAAAGGAGGAAACATCTCAGTTGGTGGGGGGTGGCGGAGGGATGCTTCCGGGTCCTTCCGTGGGGAGCGGGGGTCTCAACATCGGAGGCAGCGGGGCTGGAGGGGGGACTCCAAGTTCTGCTTATATCTGAGCGAAGACTTCTCCTCTGTGAGACACAAAACAAGAAGGACTTTGTGAGAGACCCTCCTGCCCGCCACCCTAATATAGGCACCAACTGCGTCTGTTTGGTTAAGAGTGCAAGAAAATGTATAAAATACATAAAGGACCCCAATATTTGCCAGCAGGGGCCCACCATGAATCATGGGCTGCCATATCACACAGACCCAAATTCTGTCACCAGCTAAGGCATGGTATTAGAATATTAATCTAAATAATCATTGTTCATTGTCAATTCTATCTAGTATCCATGGAAAAGCTACTGTGCATTTAAAACAAAGTAGTTATCCTATCAGGAATTCTGCTATTATAAATATGAAGTTGAGGTTGTTATCAGTAGATGATTGACTCTTGCCAGAAAGAATGAGTTGATTGTTCCAAGATGCTTCACATAGCTGGACGGCTCAGATTTCACGATTAAGGCATATATGAAAATGGAGGAAAGACTGGCTAAAAGAAAACAAAATCTTATTTAGTACGATCCTTCTTCCAGAACTCATTACCTCAAACCACACTGAGTATTCAAAATGGCAAAAAAGAAAGAGCATTGTTGTCTTTTTGTGTGTGTTTGTTAATGCACTTGTCTTGCTTTTCAATTACACCAGCTCCTTCACTATGTTATCTACTTTTTGACACAGTGGAAAAATGTTTCTCCAGTGAATTCTATGTCTTCTTCTCGTGCCCACTTTTGTAACTTGGTAGCTAGAAATATATGCATTTCCAAAAATTTTTAGATATATATTTTTAATAGTTCAGTAAGTGAATAGTTTCAATAAGTGAATCTGCGGATACTGTACCAACAGTTATATTCTCGCCTAAATCCTACAATCTCAGGCAGGAGGGCAACGATAAAGCCAATGGGTCTTCTGCAAATCTTTTTAAAACGATATAAAATCTTAAACTCGGCCACTGTGGAAGGGCACATCCTTTCACTGACTCTCGCTTGCCGAGAACTCAGGTAAGAGCCCCCGGGGTTTCCGAATCAAAGGCTCTCTGGGGATTCGAACTCGCAATCTCTGGCTCTTAAGCCAGAGACCTCCACCCCTGAGTGATCCCAACCAGCTGCTCAAAGGGAAAAGCCCCCAGCAGTTGCAACAATAAATTTCCCAGAAGGCCCAGCTGGGGATTCGAACTCGCAAACTCTGGCTCTTAAGCTAGAGACCTCCACCCCTGAGTGATCCCAGCCAGCTGCTCAAAGGGAAAAGCCCCCAGCAGTTGCAACAATAAATTAAACTCTATTTTAAAATACAGCCCCCCGCTGTTTGGTGACACCAGAAGCAGCTGCTCCGTCATTTCCCCGGCATTTACCTGCTTTGTTTCTCGGTTCCAGTGGGTCCAGAATTTTCCCTCGGCTTTGTCGATCTCCCTGCTGGGCACCTGGGGAAGAGGGAAGGGGAAAAGGGTGAGCCGCAGGCGTCCCAGAGCCGAGTCCGTCGCGGAAGGACACCCAGGAGAGAGGCAGAAAGAGGGAGGTAGCGAGTTTGAAGACTGGGTGAGAGCAAGAAGCAAAAGCCAGCAGATATTTGGGAATTTTTGTGGAAATCAAACCCGTCCCAGTCCCCAGGGAAGCATCTCTAAAAACAGAACTGACAACAACCGAATAGATCAGAAAAATCAAGTCGTGGGAACCGAACGACCCTCCAGGTTTTGAAAAACTGAAAACACTCCTTATCTTCCTCTGGGTTTAACAGAGATACAGCAGATAGGAGAGCACTTTTCAAAGACTTAAACGGTGGTCTCACAAAAAAGGGGTAGGATCTGCTCTCGATCCTCCCAGAGGGCAGGACCTCCCAGAATGGGCTCAAGAGACACAGAGCCGGATTTAGGCTGAATATCACGGAAAAACGTCCTAACTGTTAGAGCAGTACGGGAATGGGAATTCATGACCTCAAGGGGAGGGGGTGAGCGCTCCAACGGTAGAAGCCTTCAAGAGAAAATCAGACCACCCTCTGCCAAATCTTAGATTTCGGTTTCCTGCCTTGAGTAGGAGAGGGTTTGGACTTGATGGCCTTCGAGACCCCCTTAGACCCCATGATTCTGTAGGATTAAACCCAATACTTAACCCCACCCGAGGCAGAGCCAACAGGCCTCTGACAAAACCTACGTTACAGTGACTCAAAGCACCTCTTCCGTTTAAGGTTTTATTCTTGAAACAAACCTTAGAAGTTCTTTTTAATAAATCCAGTTTGTGTTCTTTTACACATGGCTCAACTGGTTTCCCACCCCCAGTCCAAAAATGAACATAGAAAAACTAAACAAGACCAGAACGGAGGGCTTACCTTGAAAGCAATGGTCTCGTACGGTTCGGCCGCCATCAGGAGGTACTGCCAGCGCCGATCGGGCGGTTCGATCCGCTGCTCGTAAGCCGACATAAACCGGTGCCTTGGCATAATGCTCTCGGCAATCTCCGGGTAATCGATCTTAAAGGGCAGCAGAAAAAGTCTGGTTAAGAAAGGAGGAAACGAAAGCTAGAAAGCAGTAGAGGATTGGATTTCGCAGGATCGTACCTGGAAGAGGAGACTCTGCTGCCCTGACTCTGGATCCCTCTGCTTGGTCACTGGAAGGACAGACATAAAGAAAGCTCATGCTGAGAGACCGTGGGGCGCAGTGGCGAAGAGCATGGGGTCGTAACTGGCGAGGCCCAGGTTCAAATCTCTGCCTAGCCGTGAAAACTCACTGAGGGATGTTTTGACTCTCTCCTTGGCCTACCTCACAGGGACCTCGGCGTGAAGATAGAAGCCAAGAAGAGCCCATGGGGAAATGGGCAGAATACAAAAAATGAAAGGAATATGGGGCAGCAATAAATAATGTTTAGAAAGAGATACAGGCCCCACCTGACCTGAGAGGGGGGGCATGCAGGCTGATATACCACAGGGCCTCAAACAGAGAGAAGCATATTTTGCATTTTTTTAAAAAAAGATTCTGAATTTGCATTCAAAAGCCAGGCCATGCTCCTAGTCCTTATGGGGCAGGGATAATGCCAGAAAATGCACAACCACTGAGAGATCAGCAGGGGTTTCTGAAGCATCCCTGGTCCAGGCTGGCAACAGAAAATACAAAATATACCCGATCTGGGTGACATGGAATCTAGATTACCTAACGGGCCGTTAATGGGAACAGAGACCCAATATGACAGTTACTGAGGTCTAGCCACCTGTTGTGGCTTTAAAGAGAGATTTTACAACACTGGTTTCCATCACAGTAATGAGAGAGTGCCTTCTGTAGATGGACAGATGCATCTACTCCTCGGCCACCACCACCCTGAGCCAAAAGGATTCCCACCTACCTTTGTAACCCGGCCGGCCGATCTTCACAAACTTTTTAACTTCGACTTTCACTTTTTCAGGGGCTGGCTGGGCTGGGGCTTCCTTCGCCTCTTTCGCCGCTCGGCGAGCTCTGAAGGAAAAAAGAGAGGAAAAGGCTATTTTGAAATGGAGAATGGGCCTTTGCATTCCTTCCAAACCCCGAGAATAAATTCAACCCATGTCTCAGCTACAGTGAGGGGGAGAGACCAGTCCCTAAAACAAGCAACTGGTTTCCAGCAAAGGTATTTTCAGACAGTAGAAACTCTTCCTCCCCCAAAAAAAAGTTTAAATGAAGTTTTAAAGAGATAGAGGGAAGCAACACAAGACTTACAAATTAGTCTGATGTTTCTTGCCCTGAGTGTGAGCTAAGTAGCTTCCCTGTGGGAGGAACAGAAAGAACATTAGATGCAAATAAAGCTCGGATCCAAAAGTACAGGCAGGACATAAATACCAAAATAAACTGCCTTGATTTAGATCCCTCTCCTTATTTCTGGATTTTCTCCCTCCCCATGGCCTCCTCTAACCAGGGGAAGCACGGAATGTGGAGACATAAACCCGGGTTCTCACCTCATTGTTATGGAGTGTCAGGCAAAGCTTGCATTCATAAGACCCCAAATGGTTTTTCATAAAATACGGATCCTAGAGAGAAGATAGAAGAGGGAAACATTAAGGACAGAACCAGGCCAGGCAATGTAGAACGTACTTGGGCATCTCAACGAGACGTGGGCAGGCACAACCGACTGAGCAAATGCCAGATCAAAAGGGCAGTGTTACACCAGACACTTGGGTTCGTCTGTTTCTTTCAGTGTAAGCTGTTAGAGATCTCTGGGTACATGCAGGCCACAGAAACTAGGTAACCATAGGCTACTAAGACCCATTACTTCTACAAAATACCTGTTCCTGGCAGAGCTAGAAACAAGAAGGGCTAGTTACCAAAAATGTGGCTCAACATCACTTCCCTCATGTCAGGGTTGCCTCCAGAAAAGGAGACTATGGTAGTTTAGAATCTTATTTCGTTATTTGCTAACATGCTACCCTTATATCAGCTGTTTCCCCCCCCCACGTATCAATCTGGTCCCCAAAGCAAAGCCCAGAGAGGCACCCACCTTGTTGATATCTATTGTTTCCAAGGCCAACTGCCTCAGCCTCTCCCGGCGGTCCCGGTTGCTCTCTGAGGCAGAGGCAACCCCTCCACTGCCGGTTTTACCTCCCGGGCGGTGCTGAAAGTCCATGGTGGCCGGTTTAGGGCTCCAAAATTATCTAGGAGGAAAAAAAATCCTAAGGGGAGAATCAGATAAAAGAGAGGTAAGAAAAAGAGTGATCAATCTTGCCTGGATCATCTTGCAGCAGAAAGATTTTTGGATTTTAAACGATTTCTTAAGGACTAGAAACCTGAGTGGGTTTTTAAGAAACAGAAACGCAAATAGGCTTTAAAGGCACAGGAAACATTCAGACCTTTAAAAGGGGCTTAAAAAATGCTTTAAAAAAGACTTTAAATAGCCGCCTAGAGTGGTCTAATATGATCCTGAGTGGGTTTTTAAGAAACAGAAACGCAAATAGGCTTTAAAGGCACAGGAAACATTCAGACCTTTAAAAGGGGCTTAAAAAAAGACTTTAAATGAATTTAAGGACTGGGCACTATAAGGAGGAGGGACCTGAGTAGGATGAAAGGACAAAGGATCGGTTCACACGTGCCTGGCTCTCTAGTCCCTGAACCTTTTCTTTCAGGCTGCATTCACGTGTCTAGCTCTGAAACCCCCTCCACAAATGGATTTAAAACCAGACTGGGGAGGGGTCTTGACTGGGTCGACCAAGACTAGACATGTTAAAGGTGGGCACTATAAGGAGGAGGGACCTGAGTAGGATGAAAGGACAAAGGATCGGTTCACACGTGCCTGGCTCTCTAGTCCCTGAACCTTTTCTTTCAGGCTGCATTCACGTGTCTAGCTCTGAAACCCCCTCCACAAATGGATTTAAAACCAGACTGGGGAGGGGTCTTGACTGGGTCGACCAAGACTAGACATGTTAAAGGTTTCGAGGGCTAAAGGTTCGGGTTGAGGACTAGAAACTTGAGTGGGAGCTCAAAGAGGCCTTTTGTTCCTGAGCCCCCTCCCTCCTTAGGAACTCCTCTGGCCCCCATTCCCCAGCGCAGCCCAGCCACCCACCCTGTTCCCACGTTACCCTACATTCACGAGTCACTTCTTCCTCCCCGTAAAGAAGCCTTTGGGGACCCAGGAGACGGCGGGGAGCGCACTGCGCAGGACCGGAAGCGGGGCTTCGGGAGCTGAGGAAGGCGCACTTCCAGTTCAGCGCAGAGGTTGGAGGCGGGGGAACTTCCTCTTTGGAGAGAGAGCGCCAAGGTGTGAGGTGGACCATGGAGACGTGCGGCTAGAAGGGCCAGGGTTCCTGATGGACGGAGCCAGAGGAAGGTAAGGGGACGGAAGGGAGAAGCGCTTCCGGTTAGGCGGCGTGAAGAGGGGGAAAGCGCCATAGAGTGCCGCGGCCAGAGGGGCTAGGATGCGGTACAACGAGCGGGAGCTGCTCTCGCTCTCCCGGCAGCCGGCGGAGAAGGCGGCCGAGGTCCTCATGCGGGCCCCGAAGAAGGGCAGCGGTGAGGAAGAGGAAGGCCACGGGGAAGGGGGGGGAGGACGGCGGGGACGGTGACGTCACGGCGCCGCGTTCGGAGGAGCCCGCGCGCCGCGACGCCGCCTGCGCCCATGGGGGCGTGGCCTTGTTTTCGTCATCGCTGGGCGTTCCCTTGAGGACTAGAACCTTGAAGAGGGCTTCCAAGGAGGTTGGAGCAACTAGGATGATTGCGAGTTGAAGGCCACCCACAGGGTGGAAAGGGCTTTCCCGGCCACTCCCGTTTTGATCTCTAAATTTAAATTTCCCTTTTAACTCCCTGTTTTGATCTTGATTTTCCCCTTGGTCTCACTCACTCTCATTCAGGAAACGCCAGGCTGCCCAGAGCAGTGATGGAGCCCACCTTTCGGCTGACAGATGCCGGGTGTGGAAATCTCGGCTTTTATCAGAGCCTGGAATGTCAACACACTTAATCCTTAATTTCCAATTCCCCCCCCCCGTTTTTTTTTCCTTGCAGTGGTGAAGAAGCGCCTGGTGAAGCTGGTGGTCAACTTCCTCTTCTATTTCCGGACCGACGACGCCGAGGTAACGGCCACTGGCTCTTAGGAATCACGTTTGACATCAAACAAGGCTTCTCACATTGCTAGTCCCCAACGATCCTGTTGTTTCTTTGCTGTAACTGTTCAGACCTATAGGCAAGATATAGTGGGACAGGCAATAGAACATGTGGTTTGGCTTTGCTGTTTCTTTGTATTCCCGTTATCATATAATATATATGTCTTTAACCGAATTTGCCAATACTTTTAAGAATTGATTGGAAAAGTGTAGAAATGATTACGTTAAAGGGGTTATGCTGCTCAGTTAGGAAATCAAATTTCTCTCTCTCTTCTCCGTCTGCTCCACAGCCTATCGGCGCTTTACTGCTGGAACACTGCAAGATCAGCCGAGAAAATGGAAATGTTTTTTCTATCAGTAAGTCCAAATGGCTTTTTATTCTTCTTTTGTGGATCTCTGTGGCAATCCTGAAACAGAACCTCCATGCAAAGGGGCAGTGTGTCTCAGGCTCCAAAACACTGAGGTCTAGGAACATGGCAGAGTGGGCAGCCTTCTGGCCTGCTGGGTGAGCCGTGCCTTGAGAGACGGAGGGCAGGTTAACGGACGAGAGGAGGCCCTGATCTGCTTGGGCGACTCTTAAAATTTCCAGACGCCTTTCCTTCTCCAGGGAATTCGCTGTCTCTCGCTTTGGTGCGAATTCCTCACGTCTTGGGGAAGAGATAGCAGCTGCCTTGTATCTGGAACCACTTTCGATCAAACACAAGTGGGCTTTGTTAGATCAAAAACTTCCCCCTTCCTTTGGTCTTGACTCCTCCTCCCCCCCTCAAGGCCGACACAGTTCTCTCAAAGGGGGAGACAAAAGGTGTCTTTCAAACTGGAGCTTTAAAAAAGGGGGTTATCTCAGATTTTGGTTTCAGTTCCCTTGCTTAACTCTGTGGATCAGGCCCCAGGGTGTGCCTGGGTGCTAATAACCCCGGGGTGCTGAGATTCCGTTCAACCTGGTTATCTCCCTGAGAAGCTAGCTTTCTGCTTGCTGCCGGTCTAAATCAGGTTTTTCCAATGTGGAGAAACATTGAAGAACAGAAGGTTGGAGATACCTTGGCAGCCACCGGCTGATTCCTCAAATGCGGTCGGAACGGAGGTGAGCTCTCCTTGTTTAGAAAAAAAAAATGTAAAAAAAAAAAGAATTAAAGGGATCCGATGGGGTGACCTCGTCGCCTTGGGTCAACAGGTTTTCTCGAGGAACCAGAGAGGAAGTACTACTTTGAGTGTGACACAGACGAGCAGTGCCAGGAGTGGATCGAGGTCCTCCGGCGGGCCAGGTGAGGCCAGCCGTCTTCCCTTCCCGGGCCTCATGCTTCAGGGTTCTCCCAGCCATGGAACAAAGCCCTTAAAAGGCAGCATTAAAATGTTTGGTGGAGAAAATGTACAGGGCTTATACTTCCCAGAAAGATTGCCATCCAGTCTGTTTAAATAGAATATAATCCTATAGAGCTGGAAGGGACCCTATGGGTCATCCAGTCTAGCCCATCCAGTGGAGGATTTGAACTCCGAACCTCTGACTCCGTAGCAAAGCTCTAAAACCAATGATGCCTAGAACACCGAACTTTCAAAAAACTGCAGAGGAAAATTAACCCCCTTTTTGAGGAGTCTGTTCCATGGCCAAGTGGCTTTTCCTGATGGGAAATTCTCCTGGTATCCAAAAATTGATAGATGCTTCTGGGTCTCAGCAGAGAGCAAGAATGAGCAGCCACCTCTTAATATATTGATTTTGTGAGAAATGTCGCCGGCCTGTGTTACTGGCTTGTTTCCTCTGCCTTTCTCAGTGGTATGTGCTTTTTTTTTCTGCCTGCAGTTATGAATTTATGAGAAGCAGTTTGATCTTCTACCGGAACGAGATCCAGAAGATGACTGGAAAGGTAAGCCATCCGGGGTCCTAGCTTGAGGGCTGATGTCCCGGGGGGGGGGGGGTGAGCGCTCCCACACTGGAGGCTTTCAAGAGGCAATGGGATCACTGTCCATCTGATTTGCTTGGACTTGGGTCAGACTTGATGGCCTTAGAGGGTCCCCCTTCCAACTCCACAATTCTGTGATTCTAAGAGGTTAGAAAGCTAGCCGTAGACAACAACTCGAAAAACATAGGTGGCAGGGGTATTAGAGGAAGAAATTTGCCAGGTAGGCAACCAGCCACAGAGACATCTCTCCCTGTTGCACCATTATGGGGGGGGGTGCGCCCAGAAGAGGCATCTAACAGACGACACTCGCAATTAAAACAGGAGTCGAGACACTTACTGCCAGGGAGGTGAAACTGGAGATTCGTCCTCTCTGCATTTGCGCACGAAGCACCCAAGAGTCTGTCAGGTTTCAGGAGCTAAGTCGAGCGAGGTCCTGGTAGAATGAGGGACAGTTCACTCTTATGCTCTGGGGTGGACATTTCTAGGCGGGATGGACTATGAATCTAGCAGAAAGGAATACATACGGGCTCCTGCGCCCCACAAATCTGTGGGTGCCAGGTGTCCCCTGTAACGCTTCATTTCTCCTTTGTGGCTTCAGGATCCTTTGGAACAATACGGCATCTCGGAGGAAGCTCGCTTCCAGCTGGGCGCGCGGAAGCTGTGAAAACATGGCCAGAGGTGCTCCGGATCCATCGCTGTCTTCAAACCTCCAGCTCGGGGATTCTTTCTTTCTCTCTCTGACCAAGTGATTTTACCCATCATATTATTTTTTAAATGAACATACAGGAGGATCTTTGTAACGTTTATGTTTTAGTTTTGCTTTCCATCCATGGAAAGCAATGGCTTTTTCAATTCTGTGGAGCACCACATCCTCCATTTTTCCCCCCATCCGGCGGCGAGCAAACGCTGTTGAATATTTCGGCTTACGTAAAATCATTCCAAGTCCCCACCCCTGCATTTTTCCTCCATTTTCTCTCACTTGGCTTTGCTTTATTTTTCTCCTTTCGCCGGGGCCTGGCAGATGAATGTATTTTTGAAACCTGCTGTGAAATTTCTCCAAGGGCATTTTAAAAATGATCGTTAAAACTCCTGGGGGGGAGGGGATGAAAGAGGCAAGACGCCAATCCAAAAGGGATGGGGTTTTGGTTATTTAGGAAGGTTTTAACGGGAGAGGGTTCAGAGTTTTACCCATTTACAGCCAAAGGAAAAAGACACACCCTGTTTTCCCTCATCATCATGCTTGTTTCTCCTGGGGCATGGGCAATCTGATACCCCTGTACATGTGAAATAGGGATTGGTTTTCTCAGTGAAATGTCTCTTGTGTTACTTCTGTTATATGTACACTAGTTTTGTGTCCTCCTCAAAAATAAAACAACCATGTTTTGTTTCTGCTTAGTCAATATTTGTGTATGCCAGACTAGAAGCATGGGGGATGTGAGCAAGATACTGTCAGCCTAGCCCACCTGGCAAGGTCGTCGTGCACTGAGGCATGGGGCTAAATCTGTACTCATCCTCAGTGCCACACAACAGGCAGGGTTTTCCTTTAACAGTGCAGGATCCGATCCCCCTCATTTATATAACTTCCAGTCGGTTCACAGCTTTCTAAGGAACGCTCCTGGTTTTTCGTGGCAGTCCATTCATCAAACTGTGTTCCTTTTTTTCCAAAACAAAAGCAAAAAGAGGAAATTTACACACATACACACACACACTCCCGTTTGAAATGAAGAAAACACAGTAGTCCAAAGTGCATTAAAATACATTTGTGTGTTTTGTTTGTTTTTTTTAATATAAAGACAAAACGTCAAAGCGTTTCTTTAATTACAAATCAAGGGGAAGGGACTGCGTGGTGGTGAAGGGTGTTTAAAGTGGAACTTAGGATTTAAGGAAAAACTTTGCAGTGCAAAGAACGGGGGGGGGGAGTCAGAAGGGGTGGAAAATATATAGATTAAGATCATTATTACATACATATATACACACGCCAAAAAATTTCACATGAGCTGTACGGAAGGAATAATAACAAGTTAAAATTTTTAATGCAGCCAGATTAAAAAGAAAGAGGAAAAAAACCAAGACAAACCAAATACACATGACAGGAGATTATGGATTTTAAATAAATTTCATTTCCATGGGCTAATGTGTACAAACCAAGTCCTTAAGGAAAGACCATCCCGGATCGCCACCTCTAAAGAAACGGGGACTCCCCCATCCATTTACAAACAGATTTTATATATATAATTCTTATATATATATTTTTACAAATGAATTCCTGAGCAACAGCGATTTTTCCATCACTGACTTTTTGAGTTCTGCCCCTTGGGCTCCTCACCAGCCAGGTCTGCTTCTCGGGAGGAAAAACCTATCAGAGCGACCCCGTTAAGCAGCCCCTGGTGGGCTCTTCTAAAAGGAAACCAAAGGCAGGCTCTCCCCCCCCCCCAAAAAAAATGGGGGGAGCGCTGAAACGAGTAGGTAGGCCAGCTGAACTGTCCTGTCTGTCCTTTCCCTTACATCTCATTTTCCAAAAATATAAATTTCACAGGGTTTGGGAATCTGGGGACAGCATCAAGGGGAGAAAGCAAAAATTATTTACAGGGCCTTCCTTGGAGAGCTGCCCACACTTTACGTAAAGGGCGGCTTCCGTTTGAACCACTCCGGACAACCCCCCCCCCGGGTGGTCACCTGGGGCAAGCAAAAAAATTGCCATGGGTGACTAGGCAAGGCTGTCTTTCAAACCAAGTTCCTGCCACAGGAATCCAGGTTTACCTCCCGGAGAAGATGTGGACCAGCCAGCCTATTATTCTCAATTTCTATTGCTACACCAAGTCTCTGGAAATTAAAAAATGGAAAGGAAAAAAAAAACCCAAACGTTTCCACTTTTTTTCCTATGTGGTTCCTGAATGTGGGAGACCCAATATTCTCCCCTCGCTGTTGCTGGGTCACGCTCCTAACCAGAGCCTCCCAATTTAACCCAATATGCTATTTGGTAAGTGATTCGTTGATTCACAGGCTGGACTTCCAACAACACGAAAAGAAGCCGAGTTTGTCTTTCAAGGCTTTGGGGGGTTGTGGGGCGCCGAGGACAAGAGAAGGAGGCTCAACACACATGCCAAACAAACACATTGTTTTGTGTTTTTTTTTTTACAAAGGCTAGAGAGAAAACCCTAAGGTAGAAACGAGCACAAATGAACATATCGATTATCCGTGGCAAGGGCGGAGTCGCCCTGCAGTCGAGGGAGAGAACAACGTAAGACCGACGCATGGATAAGGCAGGTCCCAAAGTAGCCAGCGGCCACACACACACACACGATAGCACCATATTCTGCACCAGAAAAGATTCGGGGTCGTGGCCGAACTCCTGGGGTTGCCCGACACCCCGCGCCTTTCCTGAAAACGTGACGGCGGCTGAAAGAAAAGATCGCAAGGTCCTTGGCAGAATTGTCCCAGGTCTCTCCTGGACTTTTTAAGGGCAGGAAAGACGTGAAAAGTTCACAGTAGCCAACTGGCCGGCCGCCTTGAGAGCAGGAAAGCTGGGGGTGTTCACCCCGGCCCAGGGAACCCTGTGGCCAAATTGATTCCAAAACACACACATAAAAACACCATCCAGTTGGCTGAGTAGAGGCAGCCAGTCCCCCCAAGATGAAATGTTAAAAAAGGGGGGGGGTGTATTTCACAACAAACTCTCCCCCCCCCCCAAAATTAGCATCATACAGTAATGAAGGCTGACGGGAGCACCGGGGAGAATCAACTCTCCCTTCCCGTCAGGAACAGCCAAGCCGCCAGAGACAAAAAGGTTCACTGGGTTTTTTTTGTTTTGTTTTGGAGGGGGTGTTTCGCTTGAGCCGGACTTTGTAAGGTGTCGCAAAGGGAGATGGGACACCCGCGAGACAGAGTCGAACAAGGCGATCCCCCAGATGTGGAAAACCACCTGAACCTTCCCCCCCCCCTTGATATGAGCAAAATCAGGAGCTATTAGGAAGGAGCAGCTGGAAAGCAGGGGTTCTGCAGGTGGATCTTTCAACTTTACTCCCAGGACCCAGATGTTTTCCTCTGGGTCAGCTGTCCATCCACAGCCGTCTCTCCAGACGGGTCTGGCTAGATCTCCTCTCTGTCTATTGTCCATTCTACCTGTACTGCGCTCTTTATCAAAGAGATAAAGCTGGAAAATGCTGGGTTTTTTTCCTAACCTGCAAGAACCAGACATAGGTTTTCTCCACCACCAAGACAAATGTCCACCAGCTGGCTGGGTACAAAGGGAAGCTTTCTATGCCATGCTACAGAAGCAACGCTGCTGGTCTGCTATGGATTTGCATGGCTAACCTCAAAGTAAAACAAGGATCCACCCAGGAATGAATCCTAACCCCCCCATCTTGCTTTTATGTCTTCCAATAAGTAAAACCAACCCTTTAAATGCACCTCATCTATAAAGCGTGATACAAAAACAGCTTACGTGGTATGGCTGAGGGTGTGTGGTTGCGTTTGGTGATGCGGGTGTGAGAGCGCGAAAACCCGATCTTTTAGAACAGCATTTGGTGAAAGAGGGGGCGGGGGGGGAAGAGATCAAGCAGGCACTTATTGAGAAAATCTACCAAAAGGATGGCAGCCGGAGACCGGGTTCCGATTTACTCACAGCTCTTCTAGGTTCCGCTGAATACAGGCCTGACTTGCGCCAGCTGCCGTGAAGATGTGAGACCAGTGGCGTCTATGCACCTAATTCTTTGGGGCATTTGTTACACAGAAAAAGCAAAGCACCATTACAGAAGGACATGTGTCCCCCGCTTGCAGAAGAGAGCACCCCATGCTGCTTTTAGGTTCACCTCCACATTTGCACCTGAAAGCAAACCCTTGGTTCAGCCTGGACAGGGGGGATTTTAAGACCCCACCCCACCCCCATGGCCAAACACAGTGTGTTGATGCAAAGCCCTGAAAAAACCCAGCATGTCGTGAAAAAGATCAAGATGAAATGGCGAGGGGCTGGATCACACCGCTGGGGTTCTTAAGGAGGGCCGAGGGGAAGCAGCCGAGGCCGATCCCTTCCGGAGGGTACCAGACTACACATCCTAGCATCCTGAACTGGAGGGCGCCTCCGGGGCCCTCCCGACCCCAATGCCTAAAGGAGGGGGAAGGAGAGAAGCTGTGGAGCTGGGCTCCAACGCCCATCATCCCCAGACAGCCCAGGCACAGGGGATGTCTGAGGGATAGGCGTTGCGTCTCCCATAGGTCAGTGGTCCCAGGTTGAGAAAGGCTGGGCTTCGTAGTCCAGCCACGACAGGAGGGTCTCGCTCAGCCCACGCCGGCTTCGATGCACCTGCTTTTGGCTTTCGCAGAGTTAAGGCAGAGGCGCCCGCCTTTGGAAATAGTGCTTGTGTTTCTGAACACCTTGGGGTGTTGGGGGTGGTGGTGAGTGTGTGTGGGGCTGTATGTATGCCAGTGTCGCACGAGAGCACCGTGATGACAATTCTGCCTGGCAGGTCGGGCGAGGGGCGTGCAACAGGCACCCTTCCTGCTCGCAAGCGGTGTTTGGAACGACAGGGAGATTCTACAAAACTTTAAAACAATCACAATAACACAACCTCCCACCCTCCCTGCAGCCAATGGCCTGGTTTTTCACACACACACAAAAAATAAAAAATAAAAACCCTTGCCAGCCGGTTGGCCACACATGCCCGAGGAAACAGGAGGAAATAAATAAGGAATAAGACCGTGCGCACAGGAATGACGGTTTGGTTCAGTGTTGTTGGTCATTCCCGCCAGGCTGAAATTAAAAAATTAAATTAAAATTACAAAAAAATTAAAATAAACAGAGAGGGGGGAAAAGCACCACGGGAGAGGCACAGATCCTGCTCGATGTCAGTAGCACCAAGGGAAGCTTTGTTACATCTCTGCTGGTGTGCCGGTCCGTTTATTTTAGATCGATTTAGTTCTTTTCACTGTTCAAGTGACCCCCTGTTTGTGTGAGTTTTTTTTCTTTCAGTTCTACAACTTCAAGTGTGGAACCAAAAAAAAAAAAAAAAGTGTGTGTGTGTCTGTGTTTTACACATTTAAAAATATATAAATATCTAAACTATCAACGGTACAAACTGGAGCGGTTTCTAAGCGGTTTCTTCTATAAGTTGAAGATATATATTTATATCTATCTCTCTCTATATATTTAACTTAAGATTCACAGTAGCATTTTCTTTCCTCCGGTTTTCTGGATAGATTTTTTTTTCTTTTTTGCATTGTCTTTGTTTCAATTTGCTTTTTGTCCAGTAGTAAAAAAGAAAAATGAGACAGGGAAGGAAGAAAGCAGAAAACCACTCAGCCGCGCAGGGCGAAGCACCTTCGGTGGAAGCCGAGAGACACTGATCCAGGTTGTCCGTTGCATAGGTCATGGGGTGGGGTGGGTTTTTTGAGGTAGAAATCCTTAATTACCTGCCGGAGACAAAGAAGGAGGGGGGAAAAAAAAGAAGAGGGCGGCATTCAGTTGGAGATCTGGGTTTGAGACAACATACCAAGAGAATAAGTGTTAGGGGGATCGGGGGGGGAGAGAGAAAGAAAAGGTAGGAGTTTTTCAAAAATCAATCATATTTTCAAAAAAAATCAAATTGTTTCGAATCCTAATTGAAATTCAAACAAATCTTTTTAAATTGTTTTTTAAAAATCATTTAAAAAAATTTAAATCGTGATTGAAATCAATTTGATTTCTCTCCAATCCACCCTTGACAAAAAAAAAAGCTGACATTTGTTTTGCACCAGGGGTGGTGTGACTGAAGGTTCTCGGACTACAGCTCCCATCAGCCAGGGTGGAAGAGGGGGAGGCTGGGATTGGTAGGCCAAGAGCTGCTGGATAGCTCTGTGGCTTAGGC